CACATCAATCTTGAGTATTGAAACTCGACTAAGTCCATCAAGTACATCTGGAAACACATAAACAAGGACAGTGACCTGACCATGTTTGGCTTGGAAGCAGATGGAACCGCAGTCGATGAAGTTGAGCGCTACGAGATGGGTAGGTACATCAACAGCAATGAGACGGTCTGGTGAAACCTGGTTTTTCCAATTCACAAGAAGCACCCCATGGTTGTGCATTGGAAAGTGCACTTGGAAAATGGGCCGCGCGTCTATTTCAAGGAAGACATTCTACATCAGAAAGTTCAGGGAGCCGCTGTACCTGGGTATGATGACATTAGAGCAGCAGATGCTCTTGGGCGCGTCTATACTGTGCATCCAAATAACTTTGAATGCTTCCTGCGACTCTTACTACGGAATGTCATCGGAATGAGATCCTATTTCGTTTAAGGCCCTCAGGACTGTTAACCCCTTAACTGGAATAAACGGCATTTGACGTTTGACCTCCGATAGGTTAAAATGCATTTGTTGAAAAACAAGTTCTTCACCAACTTAATGGCCAGATTGCAACATTTCGTGAAGCCTGCCAAATAATAGGTTACTTGAGGATGATGCACACCGGGGTGGCACAATGCTCGAAGCAGCTGCGACTCAGTCCCGGCAAGGAAAAGGAATTTGTTTGTCATCTCGCTGACCACTTGCGGGCCTTCCAATCCGAGACAATTGGGGGAGTCCCGCAAATATAACCTGACAGAAGACATTTTCATGCAAACTCGCAGTCAAAATTCTGAGATGGATTTCTTTGACACACCTGTCATGTTCTGTCATGTCATGCACTGATCCTCCTCGACGACAAATTCCTGGAGGTGGTTGGCAAGGACGTCAAGCAGCTAGGCCTTCCCTTTCCCCAAAGAAATCTGGTTGATCGACTGAGAAGGGAAATGCTCAGAGAAACATGTTACGATGTGGACCAGTTGGATAGGTATGTCAGCATATGAGGCACTGTTGGTCGCAGATCAAAGTGCTGCCTACAATGCCATATTGGACATGGTGAGTAGGAAAACTGGAGGAATCTTATTCCTTGACGCACCAGATGGAACAGGAGAGACTTTGCCATCAACTTGCTCTTAGCAAAAATCCGACAAAAAAAACAAATTGCAAGTGCAGTGACCTCTTCCGGAATTGCTGCCACATCGCTTTAAGTTCTTCGTACTGCTTATTCATACCTGAAGCAGCCTATTAACCTTTCACATTCTGAATGCCCTTTTTTGCTACATTAGCAAAGGAACAGGACAAGTCAAGGTTCTATAAGAGTCTGAGATACGAGTGCACAATGTCCCACGAACACGCATTGGAGGCATTCGATCGAACCCTTCAAGACCTCAGGGGCAACGACACTTATGGGTGGGGTAGTTGTAATCTTGGCAGGTGATTTTCGGCAAACGCTGTCCGTCATTCCAAAGGGAACAATGCTCGATGAACTGCTTGCTTGCATGCTTGCTATACTTACTTGCTATGCTTGCTTGAAAGCTTCATATCTCTGGAGACATGTGCGCAAACAGGGACTTACGACCGATGTGCGAGTTCGATTGGCAGGCTGATGTGTCTGCTGGCCACTTTGCTCAACAACTGCTCACTTTTAGCGATGGAAAAGTGCCAGTTGACCCCATTCATCAACATTGCGAACAGCGTTTGCAATGTAATAGACAATTGAAGAACTGGAAACCAATGCGTTCCCAAACAGCCGTCACCAAAACCCCATCACATATGGCTTCGTGAACATGCCATTCTTGCTCCAAAAAATTACAGCGTGAATGCCATTAACATACAGATTCAACAACAGATGCTTGGAGAAACTAGATCTTACGAGTCAGTTGACTATAGTGGATGTTAACGAGGCGGTTCACTATCTCACTGGGTTTCCTAAATCCCTCGAACCTCCTGGGATGCCGCCAGATAACATGGTGCTCCAAATTGGTTCTCCCATCATGCTAATAAGAAACTTGGATGAACTAAGACTGTGCAACGGCACAAGATTACGTCAAAATATATAATGCCTCATGTCATTGAAGTAACAATGTTGACACGCTGCGCAAAGGCCGGGAACGTATTCATACCACGAATATTTGCTATTCCTACTGATATGCCCATCGAATTCAAGAGACTGCATTTTCCAGTGCGTCTTGCCTTTGCTATGTCCATCAATAAAGCTCAAGGGCAGTCACTTAATTTTGCAGGTGTTAATCTGGAGACTCCTTCCTTTTCTCATGGCCAAATTTATGTAGCGTGTTGAAGAGTTGGAAGTGGAAAGAAACTGTATGTCTTTGACCTTAATGGGAAAACCTAAAACATCATGTATCAATAGCTTTGCAATAAAAAAATAATAATAATATGAAATCAAAGGCTTTGAAATAAGAATATCATTTAAATACAAACCATGTATCCCAAATTCAAGAAAAAGAAATTAAAGAAATGCTGCCTACGAAAGTAGTAATCCGAATTGATTAACTACATCTCCCCGAGACTTGGTTATAGTCGTACCGTAGGTAAACTCGTTAAGGAGTTGACGTTGGCAAAGATGGAACGGCATGCGCTACCCTCATACAATGAGTAACAGCCATTGCCTCCTTTTCATTTGACACCCCATAACATTAACACTTAGCGTACCGCTCACGAAGATTCTCATTTTTGTCTCCTTTCGCGAGTCGTTTTGCCTAGCCTCTAGCCGAAAAAGTCATAGCCTTATAGGCATCGAGCTTTAGACCAACAAGCAACACCACTCAAGTGATAATTTCAGGTTTTCACCAAACTTTGGTTATTGGAAGGGCTCTCAAAACGAAGTCAAACGGCACCAAAACTTCTGGCTGAGAAACAGGTTTAGGCTCATAACAGGTTCTCTCAATTTTCAGTGATACATGATTATTATAGTCACGGCCCTACTTTCTTTGACTATAACTTTCCGAGGGAAAGTCAGATTCGGGTGATATTTGACAAAGGAGTTCATCAGTGAAGGAGGTTTTTTTTCATACCACTAAATGGCGCTGCATGCCGATAAAGGGCGATGATGTCGACAGCAGCGCCACCTACCTACTAGCTACGTCATATTTTAGCAACTGGAAAAAGTTCGTTCAGGCCTATGAATCTCTCTGCCAATTATCAGCTGCATCCGAGAGTTCTTTCAAAAGATATGGTAAAAAAAAGTTGGACTTTGACCTAACAATTGAAATTTTTTGGTCATAACTTTTTAAGGAAAAGTTAGATGCAGCTGATATTTGACAGAGATGTTATTGTGTCTATGACCTATTCGTTCCCTTGCCCTGCACATATTTGCACCTATTGACAGAGGGCGCAGTGATTGCATACACGAAGGTGAAACGTGAAGGAGCACAAGCGCTCTGCTTACAGAGTTTCTTTGTTGATAATACACTTAGTAGCACATAACATTGACACAACATACAGTATATTCAACGCTGATTCAGCATCCAGACGTTGAACCAATGTTGAATCAATGTTGATTCAATGCTATGTCTTACTAGGGATGTAGTAAGAGCACATCAAAATGAGTCGTTACTGCTCCAAGAGTTTCATGTTCTCTTGGTGGGAGTGAGGTGAATACTATATGTATTCCTTTTTGATGGCAATTCCTATTCTCCATCTCTCTCCTTTGCATGTGCCACCACAGCGTCACCTGTCAACACGTAGAACCATGTGCTGGGCAAGGGAACGAATAGGTCATAGACACAATAACATCTTGGTACACAGAATGGGCGAGTTTGCTTCTCACTTCGGCATCGCAGACCCTATGTCGTTAACAAAACAACACGTTCGTCATATTATCGGAGATACCATCGCCTGGTAAACGCACGGAGTGCTTATATCGCCCAGTACTCGTGGAAATGTTTCATGTACAACATAATCAAATGGATGTCACTTCAATGGATGTAGTCAAATGATAGGCTTCGCTGGATGGTGAAAGTCGCCACCAAGCACAACAATTTTCCCATAGAATCGGTCATCGTCAATTGATTTTCGCAACGCCCGTTCCGACGTTGACATCCCAAATGATGACGTCGGTAGCTGTAACCATCGCTTGATTTCTGCACCATGAATGCCAGGTTGATTAATGTGAATTCGTTTGGTGTACAGAAATTGTTTACCAGCTTCGCTGCTCCATCGATAACAGCGACGTACTTCCCGTTCCGAATTTTCATGCGCCGCTACATTTGAACCACTTCCTCCGCATCATAAACGTAGAGTTGAGTATATGCAGGTTACTGACTTTGATTTAGCGGAGGAACGATATTATCATGTAGATGTAGACGGGTCGTAGTCAAATGATAGACCTCACTGGCTGTTTTGTTGCAGTAAGGACCATTATCGGTAGTCAACAATCGTTGCACCGAAAGGAAGCCGACGCGTTTACGCTGCTGTACTATCTGTTAAACTCGCGAACAGTGTGATAGTTTTTATCTCCTCTATCGACGGCGTTTTCAACTCAGGCGGAAATTCCAGTGGGTTCGAATGGAGCACCATAGCTTGATCAAGACAATAACCTGCCGAAGCGTTCATTTCGGAGCAGAGAAAGGCAAAACCAAGCAGTACTCAACAGAGCATTCCACATTCACAGGGTCGAAATGTAGTGGAACGGCTAGAATGGCGTTGCGCGTCCCCGTCCATGGAGAAAGAATATTGTTTGAAAGTTCGACGCGTACGCGCGCTAGTTTCCGCGTATGGTTAACAGCCTTGTATTGCTCTACAATTAATGCATATCGCCTCAGGGCATTAACGTCTTCACGTTGCTCACTGGCCAGTGCAGACTTTCGCAGCCTCGCCGCTTCTCTTCCGCATCGTATCGCATACTCTTAACACTTTGCATACCACCCACGGAGATTATCGTTTATGGGTCCTTTCCCGAGTCACTTTGCTTAGCCTATGGCCGAAAATCAAATAGCCTTGTAGGAATTGAGCTTTAGGCTAAGGCAACTGAGGCTTAGGCCAAAGCGGCGGATAGACGGGGTAAAATGCCCGGTACGCAATGTGGTGAGCAGTTTAACCCATCCCACTGAGATCCTGGAACAGCACAGGCTTCTGGGCCTAATTGTCGTAGGGAGGTATCAGGAAACGTACCAAGCCTTTGACACGGAATGGAAAATGCTCGTAGGCCTATGGGCTACCAAGCCTATATCCTTAAGGACGAAAGCTTCATAGGCCAGAGGCTATGCCAATCATGAAACTCCTCAGGGTGAATCATGCCAAACTGGAGCAATTTGGTGTCCTCAGACTTTAAAATTCCATAACTCTGACAGTAATTACTCAATTCTGATGGAATTTGAAATGTCAATAAGTCATGTCAGAGCAATTATTTCAATATATTTTGGCAGTGTTTGAACCATTTTTCTGGGATGCACTTAACAAAGAAGATTGAATTTGTCCCACCTGTACTGCATCTTCCACTTAGTACAAAGTATTCCTCTGCCAAACAAATACTTGTACTTTGATTTTTTTTAAGCAAATGGCATAACTTTCCAGATATATTATTCATTTTCAGAATGCACTTCTACTGCTATTAGAGGCAGTGTCTCTCTAGCTTTGCCAAGGATTATAGGTATCCTCAAAATTGGCACTTTTTCCTGTCCTACATGTAACAGTAGTGTCATAAATGGGCGAATTGAAAATGGTGAGCTGATAGTTTTCACCTGAAAATGTAATCATACCTACAGGATTACCCTTAATTAGAATCACCATAGTTCTGAAATAATTTTGAAAATTAAAGGTTTTTTTCTTTTACACACAAATGTCAAGCATAATTGTCCCACCTGTAACACGTCTTGGGTGCTTACCCTGTTAGGTATGGGGCTACAACTGTCCATGCTGATGCGCATTGCAGCGCCATCATAGGAGACAGCGTTTTACATTTTTACAAGGTCTTACATATGAGAGGTGACATTTCAAATCAAAGTTGTCCCACCCATGACAGTGTCTCACCCATAACGTTTTTTATTAACTCCTTAGAAACATAATTAAACAATATCATTTATGCTATATTGAAAATTTATGCTGTTTGGCATTGTGAATTATAGTAAAATCCAAAATTGTAGTATCCTAAGTTAAACTGTTTCAGAGATATTGTGAAACAAAGTTTTTGACACATGGCCAAAATTATGTAAGCTACAAAATTCGCAACTCCTTATCTAAATATTGAACAACCTTCATTAAGGGATAACCTGCCAGGTCTTAAAAAGATGTTTCTATTGATATACAACATGTATATTATAATGCAATATTTAAAAATTAATCCAATTTGAAACATGTGCATTGTTTGTATCACCTTTAAATTTACAGGTATCACCTGTTACTTTACTATGGGTGGGACAAAAAGTATCATGTGGATGCAGAATGACTTGAAATCTCGAGTTTCATCTCTTGGGGTGGTGATTTGTTTACATACTAACAATGTAACAACATTCAAGACAATTTCGACCCACAGTGACCCTTTTAACTCATGGGGACCCATTTCGACCCACTGTCACCTTCCCTGAATCTCACTATTTAATAGTGGCCATGGTTGACCAATAGAGATTCTAGGTGATCCATGTTCTTTCTAAATTTTAGTAAGCTTACATCGCCTTAGAAAAATGAGGCCCAAGTTTGATCAATTGGATAATATGGGCTAACTATGGTCACCATGGGTCACCTGCAGTCTCTCTGTATCAAATTTAGTCACTCTATCTCAATTTTAGCATTCTTCAGTCACCCTAGAATAATTAGGCTCAAGTTGGGTGGATCATGAGCGATATGGGTTATCATGGGTCACCTGGGATCATTTGGTCAACTCTGGCTAATATTAAATAGTGAAATTCACCATAGGTCACCATTGGTCGAAATGGTTCACCAGGGGTCGAATTGGCTCGCCGTGGGTCGAAATGGATCAAAATGGATCGCTTTGTACAATTGTGGGACAAATATGTCACTGCTTCTTTTTTTGTAAAAGCATATACAGTATATTACTCAGACAATTAGGCCCATATTCTGTCAATTTGACAATTTAGGACACTTGTTTCCATTTTCCCCCAATAAAGACTTTAAAACATGTGTTGTATCAATATTTTATCCAACAATATCAAATAAAAACTCAATGCTTGCAATCGTTGTGTCGCAAGGCACGATCTGAAATTGAAAATTCAGACAGCAGGCTGGAATTAACTTCTGAAAATTTGTGGTTTTGTAACATGAGTCGCGATGGAATGACCCATTGATTTCTATGTTCCAAGGCATCAAAATGCATTCATCTTTTCATTATATGAAGAATACATTAATTACTAGGGAATGAGTGAAAACGAAATAGCTAGGAGTCTAGTAAATGCTTTTGATTGCAAAGAACACGTGCACCATTTAAAAAAATCCGTTTCTCTCTGCCACCATTGTTTCATTTTGTGATATCATGTCTTGGTGAACGTTAGTCAAGTTGCTGCCAATTCTTGGTAGAATTGTCACAAATATCTGGATTAGACCTAAAATTATATTTTGTACATCATCTCGTCCGAAACTCAGCGATGACTAGAAAGCTGCTTATTAAATGTTTGCAGGGAACTTCCGGTGAAGGAGAGACAGAAGAGTTTAAAGTTGACGCCGCAGGCTTCGAGATTGTACCGAAAGATAAGATCGATCACTTTGTCGAAAATCACCAACGAGAAACTGGCTTTTCCCAAGAAGACGACCAAATGGATTGTGATGATTGCCCACAAGCGGAGGTGAATATCGTTGCATTATAATGGGTGGTCATGGGATAAAAGCCAAATTTGGGAATGAATAACGTTGTGAAAGGCAAATCAGTCTGCTCAGTTTTGGCCGTCAAATTGATTTCAAACATGTGCAAATTGCGAAAGGGCGTCCTTAGCCAAACGTAAAAAAATTTAATTTCTTTTAAATATTTTCTTGTAATTTGATGAATTTACATTATGTTGGGGTTAGGTGAAGGCTAGGTTCCGCTAGGTTTGCCCTTTATGACTGGGATCCGATTTTGATTAAATTAATATTTTTGAAATCGATTTCACTCTTGAAAATGCAATGAATAGTTTGTATGGAAATTGGATTGGTTCATATATAAAGAAAAGATTGGGTTAGGTTAGGTTAGGCTAAATGTATTTTTATGATTTTGACTGAGTTTTTAAAAATTTGAAAGTCCTCTATTTTACCCGTTCTACTTAATAGAATCTTAGGTATGACACCAATTTGGCGCACATATACCGTATAAAACCATACCTTGAAGTTAAAAAATTATATGAAAAAAATTGGAATAGATGATTCATGATATGAAGTTGAAGGATATAGCAATTTTCAAAAAGCTTAAACAATCACACTTTAATTTTGATGTGTATTGGTGGTGGCATGAATTTTTCTTTTCTCAATGCAGTTAAAAATATGCATTTTGATGAAAAATTTTTCATTAAAAAATGGAGATGAACATCATCATAACATAACCTAACTGAACGAACCTAATTTTTCATATTCTTTACATTTCAATAAAATTGATATATTTTGATTCAGCAGGGGATACTTTTTAAAATGTGCCCGATCCATTCGTTTCTATTTATGGGCTAAAATCATTTAATGCCAGGCGAAATACTTTAATTAGTAAAAGCAACATATCATTTTCAAGACATTCACATGGAATACTATCAAGTTCCACATATTGTATATCTGCATATCAGAATGAAGTAAAGTTTCAGCTTACCTTCACTTTATATATTAAATCTTGTAGATCTATTCCAAGCAGGGTGAATGGTATCAATATTCGTGAATTCCTGTATGGAGTGCATGCTGTGACTTTCCTTACAGGGTGTTAGGGAACATATGGCACGTCTGACGCTGGGAGCAGAGGTGAGTCTCTTGAATTACTTCATTACCTTCTAAGGCAACAAGAACGACATCATTGAGTCAAAAATCATGTTGTTCTTCTATTTCTGAGACTTCCGTCTTTTTAATCGAAGACATATTCCCAAGAAGCTCTAAATTTGTTGATAAAACTACTTCAACCGACCTCATGAGCATTGGTCGGGCATGACGTATAGATAAATAGGATTAAAAGTAAAAATGAAGCAAACTCTTCCAGGAAACGAAGTTAAATATGTCATGTTATTTCGAAATTGGAAATAAGGGAAGACAAATGAGGGGGGAATTAACGACTTCATCCATGATGCTTCCATAAATAAAGGAATACGTGGCATGGAGTACCAATAATAGAAAGAAACTCGCGTTTTCTCCTGTCATGTACAATGAAAAATTTAATATTGAATAAATTTCCTAGAGCACTAGTGAGCTGCATTATAAGCAAAAGCCTAAGAAATACATATATATATTCCGAAAAGCCTAGCATGCAGAAAAAATGAACATACTAGCAGCATGGGAAACTCTTTGAGTAAGTGCTTCCGGAATTCGAATATGTGAAAATTTTCCTAAACATGTTCTTTTTTTCAGCAAGCACCTTCTACAATAGTAACATTTCCTGGATTCCAGGTGTATTTTCTCACATGCTTCATCTACCTTCGGCTCACATCACGTCATTGTTACTGTCAGGGTGCTACCATTAAATGAATATCTATTGTCATTCAGTGAACCCCAGAGTAATTCGAAAAATGTAATATTCCGATTTTAACGGATTTCAGGAAACTTTAATTAATAATTCGCTTTACTTCCGGTATGAGGAGCATTAGATGGCATTTCAATGTCCGTCACCATGTACTCCCTCCACTACGTCTGCTTTCAGCTACCTCAACAAAGTTTGAGGGAGAAACTGGGGGCAATACCCAGCTCCTAAGAATATACAAATAATATGATGCTTTCTCGTGATAGTGTTTCCAGGAGTAGAGGGCGGAGACAGTGGCAATAGGCTGAATTTGATTCCCTAAAGATATTGGGTTTCGTAAGCATATCCCCATTTATATTGCAAGTCGAGAAGTATCCAACTTTCACAACTGTAGGAAAGAAATTGACGTCAGAGAATGAAATTTCAGGGCATTCCCACCACTTTATAGGGACCTCCAATTTCGTGCATCACTAATTTATTTACCCTGAAATCAATATGTGAAGAACATTCGAAACTTTTTTTCTGTCACGTCTATAACATAAACACACCAAATCAGAAGTCTCGTGACATTCTAAGTAGATGGCATGGTTGCCATGATGGGCACTGTGCTAGGCAATGATGGAAACAATATATGTCTCATTGGTACGGAATGATCAAAGGAGTTTAGCCAAATTTGGTCCTTAAACCACTTTAAATTATATGTACATATTTATATAGGGTGGTATTATATAAATATAAAAAAAATTTTTTTCAAATATAAGAAATTTCAAACAGGTACGTCAGAGTTATTTTAGGCTAGGCTAGGTTAACTTTGGTTTGCCCATTTTTTTTCAACAGATTTTGATCAAAAAACATTTCTTTGAATTGAATCCACTTCGGAAACGAAAATATATAAATTCGTATCGCAACTGCAAGAAATGAAGAGAATGTAGAGTGCATTAACGTCAATTCGACCTTATGAATAAATTGAAAGAGTATGCTTTAAAAAAAAGTGCCAATGTGAGATTCCCAGATGCAGAAGTTGTTTAATGATCTGATTGTAAAATTCAAAGAAATTTTGATTTTGCTTTTTCTTGCTGAAACGAGTTTTCTTCATCCAATTCTATTGAAAGTACGTAATCTGAAGGAACCGTCTCTAAATCTTGGTATTCATAAGGAATAAATGAAGTTAATTGTCGTTTCAACTATCGTCATCTAACTTCTTCAAGCCCTTCAAATTTGAGTGAAATTGGTACTTTTACAATCTGCAAATGATGCCATTTCAAACAAGAAATGATTTCATTAAATCGGTTTAAAGGCCAGTATAACATTATGTTGGGCAAGTACTTCCATATAACCCATTCTTTATTTTCTTGTGACTAACCTTTTTAAGACGTACTAATCCATTCAATGTTGGCACCTATGATATCATGCAAATTTCTGATAGATTCAAAGCGTCGGAGAGGAAGAGAATGCTGTTGATAACTACAAATTAAGATTATGATTGAGTTGATAATATACTTTTGGGGTCACATAAATGAACATTTACAGAAGAATATTTGGTAAACTCAAGTAAATAACTAGCCACGTAGCTCTGAGATCCAAATTATCAATATGGACCTTATGGACTTCATTTCGCCAGATCTAACTCCCGTGTGGAGAGAGCGGATTCCTTCGGAATCCGCATAGATCTACAGTAGATTCGTCCAGAATATGCCAGTACAAAATCTTCTGTGGACATTTGAGGGAGATTTTTTTAGAAAATGTCCTGTAAAAGACCATGCCTTGTCAGGTAATGTATCCTTGCGGTTTTCAACCTTTTGGGATTTTTGTTGCTTTTGTTATATGTCTAATGAAATTCTCGATATCGTTTCATTCAATGTTTCAGTGAATTGGAGGATTAGGTTTTCCATTCTATGCAAGGCAATATGATTGTCATTTATTCGGTATGGTCTTGATAGAAACAGGATCGACAACTTTCTTACTACGGACTTTTTTCCAAAATTAGTATCCTAATAAAAAAAACTTCAGAATTCCACTTGGTCTACTCACCATGAGAATGTAAAAATAATTCATTTCGTCTACGATAGGCACTTGGTTTCATAGTGAGGTTTCAGGTCAATGAATTTATTGAATTTTCTAAAGAAAATTCACTTTCGGTACAGCACACGGCCATCACCCAGGCAACCCAAATGAGAGGGAAAGAGGTGGTACACGATTATTCCAGAGACTCAGTGCCGACGAAAATGAAACCCATTCCTCCTCCTCGGACGTCAAAAAGTCAAATAAGTGTAAGACACCTAGAATCGGAACAGGTGCGATACCGAGTCGCATCGAATCATAAATTGGTTGATGATGTATGCATACATTTAACGGTTCTGTAACTTTGAAATAAAGGCAGGTACGAGGTTCAAGAGTGTCCCTGTATTTAAAGCAACAGTCTCCGGGTATCAGATATACACAATTGACACCATGGATCGATCTGCTGTAGAACTAGGAAAAATCTTGCTAACTGGAACGTCTGCTGAAAGTAAGTTTTATTAATATGCATAGCATGCCATACTCCCCTTACTTTCACACAACATTAATATGGATACAATTGTTTGATCATATGTAACAGGTATTAAGGAGTTCCTGACAGGTCTCATTGATGTCGTCTTGGAAGTGAGTTGGAAGGCTCCATCGCGTTATTGTCTTCAGCCTAAGCTTTGTCCCGAGGAGGAAATTCTAGTTCTTCAAGTTCCATTCCCAAATACGAAAAGTTTCTTATCGATTATCATCGTACCTCCGATGATGCAGGAAAGGAATGTTGAAGAAGTTCTTCAGTTTTATCAGCGTCTGTCTGCCATTTGGATCGCCGTGTCAAGCACTGAGAAAGCAACAATTCCGAACGTTTTCCGAAAAACGGTACTTCCACGGCTGACGAAGGTGAAGGTACCTGTGCATGCTCTGATCACACAGTCATATGGACCTCTTCCATCTTCCATTGTTAAGGATCTGGACGTGGATTGTCACTGTCATCAACTCAACTCTTCCATGCTTTCTTACCCAAAGCATGATTTAGAAGATGAATCATTCAGAATGATGTGGGAAGCAAATGAATCCTGTTATTTGCGCCTGTTGCAGACTGTTATCCCCCCACTGTCCACTGCCTAGTAGGTGTGGTATCGTATGGATACGCAAATAACGCAAATGTGATTTTGTGTAGAATTAAAGTTGACGTGTCATGCTGCGTCTCACAATTACAAATCTTCTGCATGGTTGACCTTTTACAGCAACAGATATTAGCTATGCAGCATTACAAGTGGAAAATCGCTTCCTTTTTCCTCTCTTTTGTTCAATGCATTTGGTTCTAATATGTTAATAGGGCGCAATCACGGCTAATGTATCGCTTGTACGTGTGACAGAAACATTATTGCTATTAAGTGCCTGAAACCAGCCCTTAACTATATGTCAATGCAAGTGGGAAAAAATCATCTACTTGCGAAGCTGCACACGAAGAAGAAACTACCGAACGTTCATACCATCTTACTGCATTAGTTTCATGATGGATGTGTAATTTGGCTAATAAAGAAAAATAAAACACAATAAAAGTTGCATCTTTCTCTTATTTATATTACCGAAATTCACCATGAGTGTCAACCATTCCATATATCGATGCGTTCTACTTTATTAATATTTACATTTAAAGAAGAATGGCATCAATGAAAATACAAGTGCCATGAAACCTACTCCTGATCATGTCTACATTTGTATTCGATTCGGAATTTCAGGGCGAACTATGACAGCATCTGAAAATGTCAAGCAATTCTATGCGACTTCTGCATGACTAATTTTGGCCTATTTGGAAAGAAAGAGGTGCGAGAATGGGAGGACAGCAGACTATATTATAAGTATCATAAATAGATGTAAAATATGTTTATTCGGGATAAGTTGTTTCACAGATAGTCATTATTTTCCCCCTGAAATATGGATTTCATTCCTCACACCATGGTTCCTAAAATAGCAATCCTCTTCCAGTCTTTTTGAAGCGATTCTCTGAAGGGATTCATTACGTTACTGGGTAATACTGGGTTACAGGAACTGGCCTCATAATATTTGCTCCAAATGGCACTGACAGTTCCTTTTGCTACGATCAATTCACAGAAAGTTTCTATCATATTAGTCACGCAGAGGCCAATGCCAAGAAAGGTCCTGAAACCCTGAAAAGCTCCACATATTTTCCTGCTGAATTCTAAATGGCGTTCTGGGGAGTACACTACTTTAAAAATACGTATAAGTCATGTTCAATTCTAACTGTTTATATCAACAACACAACACAGGTGTCAGTATATAAGTAGATTAGATTGCACAATGTTGATAGGCCTGCGGGCTCGCGGGACCCACCTTGATTCAACTTGATTCCTCTTGTGATATATCAATGAACGATATTATTTGGAAATAACCTAAATAGCCTTACCTTCAATCCGGACCCTGACTGATCAACGGCAGACGTAGATCCCCTTTGGTCACGAGAGGTAGTGGATTTCAATTTCGAGTTCATTTTACTCTTTTACATCCTTTCTCCGTTTCCCACCCACCCACGAAAATCCTTCGTTATGACTGCCCTCGGTACTTTTAGCTACTGAATGTAAAAAGGGCAGACAAATAATTTCAAATGATGTTTGGGGATTTTCAGATTCCCTCCCACAAGTTTGAAAATGTTTCTATATTAAGTGAGGGAACCTAAACGCGAGCCGCATTTGATCATCCATCAAGCCAAGTCTTTATTTACATTCCATCGAATCCTGCAGGCAATTTCTCCAAATTATAAAAATCGCTTAAAGGACTTTACGGACGCTCACTGTATTAAGTTTCGTTAATGACACTTCAGGAATCTTCTTAGGACATGCACCGTGTACGCATCTTAGTCACTATTCATATTTCTTGAGCGCAACAGTGCAATATTTTATGAATGTTGACCATGTACATGTCGAGAATAGGCTGAATCAAAACTCCAAGACCAGGACCACAAGTTTCCTTGTAAATATGACTGATTTTGTTATTTTCAAGTATTACTATGAGAGAGTCAGTGTGCTGGGATACGCTTAACTTAGTTACATGTATCAAATACTTTGGTAATTATATAAAATAGCTGCGCGCCCGAATTCGGTATGCTCAATGCAATATATATGTTCCTCGAGGTCTTTAATATGATTTGTGGCAGTTCATTTCTTGTGCAAATGCATAAGTTTGGAATTATTGAACATTTACTCCATATTTTCATTAATAATATAGTCCCGTCTCACACATCATAGTAGCAGCTGCCGTCTTTCTAAGAGGTGTTACCTAGTCTTGAAAGCAGAGAAGCGAATATGCTGTCTCCGTATAATCGCATTGAAGAAAGTAATCAAATTTAGGCTCAATATTCAGACTAACGTTAAATCTGCTTTTCTGGGTTGTCTTTGGCCTCGGCCCTTTCCTAACCAAATTGACCTATCATCCTTCAAAATTTCTTTACTTTCTCACTTTTTGGCCTTTGACACCGAATCAATGTGAAGACTGACTCCAGGACCCAATGGGGTATTAGTATAATATGGCTTCGCGCGCAGATTCTGTATTATACCAGTAATTTTATGTTCTTTGAGGGTTTTAATACTATTTGTGACACTTCATTACTTGTAGAAACTTATGAGCATGACAATTTTCGAACTTTTAATCTCTTTTAAATCAATATTTGTCTCTGCCCCTGTCGTATTTCACAACAGGGAAAATCAGCGTGTCCCTTTTCACATTGCAAGAAATCCTTTAAAAAGAAAGGTTCAACCATTCGTCAAATTTGGTGGACCAATGTAGGTTAGGTTAAGTCAGGTTAGGTCAGGTTAGGTTAGGTTAGGTTAGGTCAGGTTAGGTCAGGTTAGGTCAGGTTAGGTCAGATTAGGTCAGGTTAGGTCAGCTTCGGTCAGGTTAGGTTAGGTAAGACTTGGTTTTTTCATGCTTAAATTCCTCATTCCATTCTGTCCTGGAGTCAGTTTTAACATTGATTCGGTGTCAAAGGCGAAAGAGTGAGAAAGTCAAGCAAGTTTGGAGAATGATGGGTCAACTTGGTTAGGAAAGGGTACAGGCCAAATGTCGCAAGTTTTTTTCTAACCCTCATTGAATGCAAGATAGCTTCAATGCAAGATGGAATTTGCACGATAGCTTCAGCTCTGGCTGCGTGCTACTAGCTCATCCATGCTAGTGACCCGAAACCCCTAAGGTGGATTGCTTCTTATACTTTTTCCCAATTTCCCCCAAATCCAAAAATTCCATGCACTATTTTCTTAGAGTAGTATAATCCCAGGGATCATGTATAGGTCATTGGCTCATGCCATGTACATTATGACGTTAGTTGAAGGCATGATGGATGTAATTGCTTTAAATCTCAACGTCGATTAAATGCTCTCTTGGAGATGCATATAATGGAAGCAGTTGCACATCCAAACACTTGGAAGTGACCTGAATGATTTGGTGCATTACAACTGCAGCCACAAGTTTAATGAGGAGCTTGTTTAAGTAAGTGCCTTAGTAGTAGTGTCAGGCAATAACCCTTCATTAATATATTCGTCACAAAGTTTTCCTTGACCAAGGTACACTATATAACAGTTCTTCTTGTCATAATTATTCCCCAATGTGCCATTTTAATGTTCTCAATTACGGGATTTCATAATGAAGACATCTATTTATTGAAAACATCTCAGGTATCATATATTCCTCTCGATAATATAATCATTTAAGGCATATGCGTACATGCAGGAAATAGAAGTCTTCTGCAAATTTATTTTAGCCCAGAAAAGAACCCAATTCCAAACTTCATGCACTTCTTCCGTGAAGATGTTCCTTGGAAGACTTGAATATATTAGTTGACGAGATGTCTAGATTTTGCTATCACATTGTTTCCTACTGGTAATAATGAAATACTCATACTCAGATTGTCAAAAATATTGCAAGGCTTCTGGTGACTCTTCGCCAAAACCGGGACGTATTTTCCTATAGCTTATATTTTGTATATTCACTGGGTCATTCAGGAGTCTCCGCACTAATTAGAGGGGGAATAAATTGCCACATCATTTCTCTCACCTTCTTTGATTAGGTGAAGGTAAAGATAGGTGATGGGAATCCTGTCAACACAGTCTCTATCAGGCTTCACCAAAACATTAAAACTCGTTTACCAAAGATGATACAAGATAAATTAGAGACGCGCAGTATTTATGATTGGGTGAGTAACTGAATACTTATCAGTTAGTAAAAAAAGAGAGAGTAATAAAAAATGGCTAAATGTCAGCGGATGCCGGGCTCTGAACCAGCATCCTACAGGGCTTCATCTCTGGAGTACCTTTGTTGTCTACGTTAACGATTTTTACGACGCCAAATAGGTTTCCCATTAGTTGGGAAAAGGAATGTGTGGGATCCCAAAAGGATTAATGGCATTTTGACAAGTACAGTGAATTATTATTACTAGAATCAGAGGATATTCCCTATGGAATGTTAGCCCACTATGGTTAGAAGCACGTGCATTTGATAATGGAAAGTGTATGGTTGGATAGAAAGCTTCCGTAATGGATGAATGGGTGCTGCTGTGCTTCGACGTCCTGATGGACTCAACACTCGTTCACCTCTTTCGGAAATCATCTATCGACTCGTACCTTTTTCGCTGTCACACACTTCCTACCATAGAGGGCTGGATTAAGTCCGCTACAAAGTCCGCTAGATTAACCCCCTTTGTCCACAAAAACGAATTACAGACCGCTGTTCTCCTTTTGTGCAAACGGAGAGCATACTCTCCATGTTCATTTGGGGCCAACTATCGCCACCACCAACATTAAGTCGAACTGAAGGCGCGCTTCAGTTCGAGCAAATGTCGTTGGTGGGTATTCTGTATGCAATTGATCAGTAATAGCGCGAATAATGCGGTTTTCAAAGTATCGACTCATATGGACGTCTTAAGCAGAAATTGCCTTAACTTTTTGAAGCACCTTGAATATAATTTGATTTCAAGAGAAACACCGAATTTTTAACAGGACGCATGAGATAATTCGTATGCCTACTTTTCCCTCATATTGTAACATTCTGAATAAGATTGGAATGATGATGTAAGCGTAGCATCATGTTTGAGGGAAAATATTCGGCATATAAAATAGTTAAGTAAAGTCCCTGGGAAAAGGTGCAAGAGCATTCATAACCTCGAACCTTTACATGCCATTTATTTTGCACCAATTTAGAATGGAATTTTCATTTCATTGGAAATGTTTGACTTTACCGAAGCAGCATATTTACGTAAACAAGATATCAATTCTTTGCAAACAATGTAAATTTCTTGCGATTCCCATGAAAATGACATCACGTTTACGTAAAATTCACGTTCCTATATTTACGTCACCAGTGTACGTGTGTTTTACATAAACTAGACGTCACTCCATCTGACGTGAAGCACATGATATCAAGTTTATGCAAAGTTAACATCACACTTTCCATTTGAAACTTTAGCTGACCATCCTGCAGTTGCAGTACCAAGATTCCTCACTAGATGGAATCCTTGTTCCCTGCATCCTACAAATACTATTAAGTACTGGCTTTCCTGACAGAGTATCAGATTTTCTTACCATCCTTCCACTTTTTATTATGCAATCCATGAATATGGAAAACATGAAATTATATATATTTTTATAATATATGACTCAGGGAATCATTAAATGCTGAGTTAAGCTTTTTTTAAATAAAAGTTAAGCATTTTATTACAGCAGTGCACGAGATTAGGGAAGAGTAGAATCCCAGCCCCACAAGTACTAAATCTTCTCTATCCTAAAAGGAAGAGAGCTCCTTTGAACATCTACTCCTCCTCCCGAGGTTCCGGTATGGGAGGAGGAAGCAGTAGGTCACTTTGGTACTCTTGAGTGCTGGTGAGGATGAGTACTCGTGTACTCGTCCAACCACCCTAGAGTTCTGAAGAACGTAAAGGAATAGGAGATTCAGTATATCAATTCTCTTCAATGGTACTGATTGGCTTTAAATACGCATGAATGCCAGGGGAAAATTAAAATAAATCTTACGTAATATGAATGTAAACATGCTGTTCGGAATGCAAACGGGAATGTCAATTTTACGTAAAATTTACGTTAATTTTGTCACCGTTTACTTATCACAGAGGTGACATTTCTGCAAATATGTCGACATTTTCTTGACAATTGTTTGCGTAAAAATGATATAAAATGGACAAAAAATTTACATTCATTTTACCTAAAATTAATATAAACATGCTGTTTGGGATGCTGTTTGGACTAGGGTTAAGGTGACTGCAACTGCGGCGAATGCTTTTGTGGTCTCAGATTCTGACGTGAGACGATTTAAAGAGGAGAACTGAGGTTGGTGTTACGGTGTCTTTTCTGCCCCGGTTTTTGAGATGCACTCAGATCCGCCTTTTTCCGCCAGCAGCGACAATTCTCTCGAAAACGCATTGAGCCGCAACCTTGTGCAACATTGAATCATTCGATCGGAGAGCTTTCGGTGCAGCACTGGTACTGGCAGCAACACTAGCAGTAGCACTGGCAGCAGCACTGGCAGCAACACTGGCAGCAACACTGGCAGCAACACTGGGAGCAGCAGGCCCTCCGGCTTAAGAATCCCCCACTGGCTCCACTCCCTTTGTACCGCTGAAGGACGGAGCAGATGGAACAACCGACTCGGCGAAGGTCCGCCTCGGAGGCCTTCAAACGCAAGATACACATGAATTTATCTACTACTGCGTAGTGTACACTGCTTGGGAATTGCACCAAGAATTAAAAAAAAAAGAAACAAAAAAACATCGCGTTGATTTGATTAATGCAGCAAAACCTAATTCCTGAGAAAAACATTTTAATGGTTCTCTCAGGAATAGGATTTTGGGAACAAGCAATGGCAAGGAAGGAATAGTTCTAATTCTGTAGCTTCCCTCTCTGTCCGATAAACTCGAAAGTATACCATATAGGTTTTCCCGACGAATTTTGGCAAAAGTCCATTCAAATTCGGCAGCGGCCGTTTCAATTTCGGCAGTGCTCCTTTCTCCTCCCGGTTATCCCATTCAATTTCGGCAGGTGGCTTTCGATTTCGGCATTCGCCGTTTCAATTTCGGCAGCGCAAGGGAATATCTTGTTTCTGGTAATTAACATGGGAATGGGGAATAGGAAAGGGCACAAACGCATAGGGTATTTTCGGCTAATGATCATTATTTTAATATGCAAATGAAAACACATGGACATTGACACAGATTCTATCAAACGATATGTTCTTCTTTTGGCATCTAATCAAGTATATAAGTGCTTGACAAAATTACGCAAAGCACTTCTATCGACTTCTATTCTCTTCTATTTGCCCAACTGATGCCTCTCCTATTTCGAGCAGTTTCTCAGTCCGACTTTGCTGCAAGTTTTGTTCCGGTCTTCGTCGTCAAGTTCTATCTGTGTTTCAGGAAGGTACACCTCACGTCTGACAGCTGCCTTAAATGCAGAGTGGGCATGTTCTGTCGAATTCAAGAAAGGAGAATATGTCGGCAGAAACTTCACGCGAACGTTAGGAAAGTCATCTGGGACCGAGGCTCGTTAGTGGGGTCTCGCATTATCCATGATAATGTGTTTTTGCTGACATATACTCCTTTTTTTAATCCGACAGAAAATACTCAAATCACCCATTAGAAATGCTTTGCGTGGTTTCGCCATACACAAACATACTACTTGATCAGGTGCCTAAGGAGAGAACTTATCGATGGTAGAATCAGCATCAACGTCCGTGTGTTTTCCTTTGCAAAATAAAAAAAATGATTATTCGCCAAAAAAATACCCTATGCGTTTGTGCCCTTTCCTGCCCTATTCCTCATACTCATTAATTACCAAAAGGAGAGATTCCCTTGCCCTGCCGAAATCGAAAGTTACCAGCCGAAAATGAATGGGAAAACGGGAAGGAGATAGGAGCACTACCGAAATTGAAACGGCAGCTGCCGAATTTGGATAGGCTTTTGCCGAAATTCGTCGGGAAAACCTATATTAAATGGTCGCTATCTGAAAACGTACGATTCTTACTTGCTTGGATCGCAGGGCAATAAAGACGCAACTTTTCGCACGATTTCACTCGTTCCGTCTCGGCTCTGCCACCAACCCCAGAATGCCATCTCACTCTTGGTGGGCTAGCGCAGAATCCCCCGAAAGTACTCAGCCGGAAGGTTGCGAAGTGATGGATGGGTCCGTCTCCGATCTCGTGCTTGGTCGATGGCTGGTTCCTTCGGAGGGCCTTCCAATGGTCCGACGATGGGTGAATGCTGAGTCACTGACCGATGCATGCTCGATGATGGTCGTTCGTTGGGGAAATCGTGCGATGTAAATTTCTAGCAGGTTGCCTGATCATCGTAGGTTGTTCGTGCGGATCTACAACGATCTTGCTCCGAAAAAAATGGACTGCTTTCGTCCCATGATTGGGGTGCAGTCATTAACCCAACGGTGGCAGCACCTGGCATCCTCCCAACATAATAAAGGTAGGCAGATGCAGTCGGTGTGTGTAGCCGATGGCTCCACCCTAACGATAAACGAACCAATGATGGATCGAGACGGTGATGGGGCCAATGATAATCCTGTGATGCCAAGTACGTGCTGGTATCATGTAAGCACGTGCAGGAATCGTGTCGTACACATGTGCTATCTGTCACTGGGCTCCTAACAACAGCTTTACATTACCTTACCTGCATATCCTGCGCACGTTTCGGATCCTGTCTACCGAGAGGAAGAAAACTCTCCATTTATTGAACGAGACTGATACTGAGACACCGAGATGAAAGTCAGAAAGTGGATTCAGTTGGGAAAATCCCGCGCTCCTGGGGGATAGGCCCGAGGGAAATTGCTCAAGTGACGTCAACGAGTCGGCAGATCTGGATCGCTTTAACAGTTTAGTGTTCAGAAGCAGACAATCGATGGGAGGGGTCCCTAAGGGCCTTGTTACAGAGATTCTTTTTTTTTTTCTGTTCTCCCCTGCTCCCTGAAGGCTCATTTCGTCCTAGATAAGATCTCCCCCTCAGTTATAGTCGAGTCACTGAGAATATGGACAGTGGAAGTAGAAGAAATGAGTCATTAAGGGTCTCACCGGCTTTTGTCGGCGGATTAACTTCTACTGCATAAGACGTTTATTTCTATCTACTCATGACATTCTGACACGGATGCCCCAAGTCTTCTCTATAGAAAACTGAAAAATAGCTAGGTTCCGCACATGTAACACATACAAGATATAGAAAAGCAATACATGGAGTTCTACAAGTATGCCGACAGGAAGATAGAAAGGTTCGTTATTCTACCCGGTGAATCTTCTTCAGTCATAATCAGAGGATGGATAAAGTGCTTGATGTTTTATATTAAGCATTCCTGCAGTCCTCTTGAATAAAAACCGCCAGTGGTAACCCAGTTTTTCTAAGCCGGGAAGGGGACTCGGCTAGCTGACATTTTCATTTACGTCATGGGGTGACCTGTCAAACTCGCCAAATTCCCAGCGACTCGACTATACCGACAGCATGTAAAACGTGCATTGCCTCGCTCGTCTAATTTTTCGGATGCGCTGTTCAGTACCCGGCTGAGTACGATCTCGTTCGGTCGCTATCATCACACGACATTTGGGGCTTGCTGTGGCGCTGAAGTCAACGCGATGATCTCACTTGCAGCGAACATGACGTTTCGATCGGTGAATTGCCTATGGATGGGCTCCGTCGATGACGACCTGGATGCAAGGTCCGGGAGAGCACACCTGGTCGGTGGGTGCGTGGCGTTCTGCGCTCCTTGCCTCTCGTCGACTCCGTTCCAGGGACTGTCAGGGGTCCGACTGGATGATGCGCATGATCCCATCGGCACTAAATATGGCTGCTCTGTTCCTTGCATTCTCGTTTGTTGCGTAAAGAAAGCAGCTTCATAGGCCTATGTTTACGTCTATGTTCTGTGGCTTCCCGATGCTTGCAGCTTGTAATAATTAGTCATACGGACTTAGGTAAGACCTCGGGCTGAACAACTGACGACGGGGCGTATTATACGCCTCAGCTTACCGCATATTAGGCCTGGTAATGCTTATCTAGGGAGAGCAGAAAGCCTCGGCCTAACCGTTCTACGCTGCAACATGAGCCAATGATGGTGTAACGATACGTTAGGTCGTTCCTATGAAAAACATAGTTTTTGCTAACCTCATGACCGGAGCCTCATTTGAAAGCCCTTTTGCAGCTCTACTGTAGATCTGGTGATATAGCCATAGGGATGTTTGCAACTGCGTATTCAATTGCATATTTCACCCATGCCTACGATTTTAGGTCAATACCCAGAATTTTACAGCCAGATTTAGCACTAGTATTGGCCACATTGTATTGTATAATGTTAGCCTAATAGTGTCCAGCTGGCAAAAATGTGAAACCGGGCATAGAAATCAGCAGTGAGTGATGAGTCAGTATCATCAGAGCCAGGCATGTTGTCCTCTAGTGAGATGTCTTATCTGTCTTAGTCATTGCATCGTGGAATAAGTCTATAGGAAAGGAATGTGAATGTGTGAGGTTGGAATTGTCCTTGTTGCATTCCTTCTGTTCCATATCCTGTTGTCAACTTGAAACTTACATGTGGCTTAATGTTGGATTCCTTCCACATCACATGTGCTCCCTTTAAATCTAGGCCTACATCACTCATGACATGTCAATACATTGTGTGCAACTGGACATAACATTGATCAAGGCTCTTGTTTTATGTGACTGATAAGCATATGTGTATCAAGATATGAAGTAGGACTTATTTCTACAAGGAAGGCTAGAAGGCAAGCCAAACTCTAGTACTGAGGAGATGGGGAGGGTCGATGTAACGAAGTAAACCTAGCTGGTACATGATTGGGGCTTCCAGTAGCTGGTACATGATTGGGGCTAATATTGGTGTTGGAAGTATTGACCCTGGCTTTTTCTATTTCTCCATTTTTTAAGCATTCAAATATGTTTTAAACTCGGACACAAATGTGGGGGCCATGGTATCCTTTTGCCTTGTTTGCAGCAAAATTGGTGTGGCAATACCAGAATTATGCAGGCAAGTAAAACTACAAGGAAATGGGCTGAGTTCTTGAATCAAGACCAGTATGGAGGAGGGAGGCAGGTGTACTCACTCTGAAGATGAGGATATGGAGTTTTGAAGGTTTCAACTATGGTACTGCGTTTTGCTTGAGGGAAAAATAATCCTGGTGGTACTGTTGATAAGGATGTAACAATGTACTGACTATCTTAATATTTTATGATCATTTCCATTGATGAATTCCACACTTCAAACTTGTTATGTCAGCCATAAGAAGAAAATGAAATGCATGTAAGTGTTTGAGGATATCAGAGTACAATGAGTGGAAGTCTTTTTTCTTGGATAAGAAAAACATCAATGGCTCAGTTGGGCTTTTATGTGTACATGAATCTGGATGAAATTTGCTCAAGTCACTGAAGTCCAGATTAATAGGAGTTCATTCAATTGTTCTTGGTGTATGCATTCTTTGTTTGAATACTTTCATTTAAAGTGTTTCCAGATTGACTTTAACCCCCCTACCCCCTATCCGTGGCGCTGTTGCCTGCAGTGAAGTGAGAGACATCTTGTCTTTATCATCATAACTAATGATGTGCTTATAAGCTTCACAAGCAGCACAACGGTAGAGGTGTAAGTGGGTCAGGTTGTAAGATCCCATTTTGAGTATGACACTGCCTGCGTAAACAGAAAGTGAGTATTGTACAATAAGAAAATTAAAACGCTGCTGGAATCCATATTGACTCAGGTCGAAACTGTACCATTTGGCAGCAGGGGTCATGAAAAAATGGAGAAGACAAGTAAGTATAGGAACTTGGACACAGTGAGTGTCCCCCCTCCCTGATACAGTAGATGGGCTATGGACTTCATCATGGGATTGTGAGATTTTCATTGATAAAGATATTTTATGAGTGAAAGAAAAACATGGAAAAGAAAACCTCCAATGATACCGAGGAAACGATACTGAGCATATTCGTCCCGGAAAGCACTTCTGCAATGAGTGCTAATGTACGTGCTAAAGATATTGAAATCTTTTGGCACACGTCAGGAGGACCTCTTGTATGTCTGGTCCTCATATATCCGGCCAGTTCTTGAGTACACCTGTGCTTCCTGGAATAGCTCCCTGCTCAGCCAAGCCGTATTTACCATCGAACAGGTGCAGAAGCGTGCCCTGCACTTAATCCTTGAGCATAAATATGAAACTTACGAAAAGGTCCTGTCGACCCTGGGCATCCCATCCTTGCAGAAAAGATGACTGGATCTTACATCTAAACATGCCCATGCCCTTCTAAAAAAATCCATCACGATGGCATCCTACCGACAATGCCCACCCATGAACCTAAGAAACATCTCATATCTCTTGCAAAAGCATAAGTGCTGCACGCGCAGATTCTACTAGTCAGCAATTCCCTTCATGACCTGCTTGATAAACTAGAAAACTACCAGAGAAGACCACCACACTGGCTCAGTACAACCCCCTTAATTTTGTTACCCTTTCTATGTCTACCCTTTGACGATGGAATGCAATTTGCTGATGCACACTTATTCCAGCACCATGAATAAATCGCTAATATTATTTTATTTTTATTTATTTATTTATATTGAAATCTTCAACCAAACATAATTTAATTACTCTATATTTAGCTGAAGTATATGATTTTACCATATACTTTGCACATAATACTTTTTCGACTCCGACACTGGTCACTGACCAGTGTCTTACGGCGAGATTGAGGACTCAATTACGCTTCTATTGCTTGAAGTGATGTCTATTGCTGGTGTTAGAAGTACTACTTTGCTGAGCGCCAACAGGGTCCATTGGGAAGTATGGAGCCCATGTTAATGGGAGTTAAAGTCATTCTGGAAACACTGTAGACACCATTGCCATTACTAGTAACAAAAATGCAATTGTGGTATTAATTACTGAGTTACTTAATGAATCTGGTATGGCAATTAAGATTTATTAAATAGTCTGTTGCCTCTTAGACAGCAAACCTTGAAGCATTTTGAGGCCCTTGCTACAAAGCTAGTGCTGCTGAGGTATGAGGTGTCATACAGCATTGTGTATGAATGTTGTTGGGATAGCCTCATTTATAGGTAACTATTCAGTGGTGCCAAAAGGTTGTTTCCTCATAGGAGGGAGATACATTTGCATACATTGTGGTTCAATTGCTATTCTGCTTTCTTTCCAGAAGTATATCCCCATATGATCAAGCCTTGATGTAAGCCCAGTTTACATATAGGAGGAAGTTCCCAAAGTCTAATAGGTCTATGGTGCATTGTAACAATTTAAGAGTGCTAATTTAGTACCTTTACTTTGTTTTCAGAACTTAAAGGTCCTCATCATTTGGTGTGAAGACAATGGCTGGAGGACCATATAGCTATTCATATATATTTAAATACATCATCATTGGAGACATGGGAGTTGGGAAATCATGTCTACTCCATCAATTCACAGAAAAGAAATGTAAGTTGAGTCTGTTGACCCACTGTCTCATCTGGAAGCTTATTATGAAACTTATCAGGAATAATTTTACATGTCCTGCATGAGAATAATTAATGGATCTATAACCCTATTACTATCATTCTGCATTTAGTTTTGAGTGAATTTGGATTTTGCAAAGCAATTAAAGTATATTTGATCTTGTAGATATATCTAGTTATTATACATCTTAGGTTTGGTGTGTACATGGCCAATGTGGTCAGAAGTTATTTCTAACTAAGACTGAATGTAAAAGTAGGTTAGTTGCCCTTACTTACAAAGTCTCATTCACTGATAGACAAAACTTTGAGTATTCATGTTTTTTTTTTTCAGTGAAAAGTACTCATTGAAGTATGTTTCAAGGTGCCTAGACAAAGCAGGGCTGTTCAACTGGTTTAAGGGAGGAACTCCCCAGTGAAGATTCTCACCTGAGAACCATATTATGGCCATCCTAAGCCCAGTGTTTAAACTTGCATACAGTGCCTATCAAATAAATTCATCCCCTCTTACTATGGGCTTCTACAATGCATCTGCAGATACTGTAATGACTAATACCATCCAGTCATTGTAGATGTTGCCCACATCACTATCTTCTGCATCCTCTCAGCAGTTGAGAAAAGTGTATTCATCCACTCTTAGTTTCCTATCAAAATCTTGTCTAGTTATCCTAATATTGAAGACTCTAGTAGGAAGATGATCATGTATAAACTCATCCAGGAAAAGAATGTCTGTTTGATAGTTGCAAAAACTATGTGAGGATGTTGAAAAGCTGTTATATTCAATGATAAAAATATTGATAGCATATTATGTTGATGAAGAGGTCTCAGGTGATGAAGAAAATGGGATTGGCTCAGACACAAAGTACACCTGCTGCTCTAATTAATTTGAGATTGAAATGAAACAAGTAGAATGGCTATGTGTATATACTGGATTTCTGGTTTTAGCTCTTCACTTAGCAGGATTTAACCCTTTGGGTGCAGTGCGGACGATTTTTCAGACATGTACGCCTGCTAAAGATGTCAAAGGTAGATTTTTCAGCCACAGCTTTTCATTAGGCCTCTTCCATTATGTAGTTGGGGTTTGTTTGATGACATAAAATACACCTACAGAATTTTTGGAAGTGGTGGACATGACCAAAAAATTGGCTGCACGGCAACGGTTAAGTGCTTGTTTACTTCCACATGACCATGAATTCAGTTGCCAAAACTCACTGTTACCGACCAAAAATTTTCTCAGTTGCCACCAAACACATTTGCTACCTTGGTTCCGCAATGTGCTATTTGGTACCTCTACACCTTCACAAGATGGGGACTTCTCTGCATCTACATGTTCCATGCATTCGGCAATGGGAACTCTTTCCCTTCATAATCACATCCACTTGAGTTAGGATGAATATCCATGTACAAAGTCATCCTCAATGCCCCAGCTTCTTTCTCTCACTCACTTCAATCTTGAGAATCACATCAATGTTACTCATTCACTAATGATGGATTTCACAATCATGGTTTTGACCCAAAGGGCAAGAAATACAACTCTGCTCTTGGTACTGTGACCAATGAAACACATTTTCAACTTTCTCCTCATCTGTATTCTATTCTCTTCAAACTTCTTACATTTCTACTTATTATCCGTCAACATAGGCATAGACTGGGATCCACTCCACATTTCCACTCCTTCAATTAAAAAAAAATCAAATAGAATCAAATGTACACTGCCTGCCATTTGGAATTTTCTTGGGTGGGAGTAAGCTTCAGCGAAACCCAAGGCAATTTTAAAATGAACCCTTAACTGGTTTGTTTCTCTGGGGGAATTTTTGACAAGTGCACATAGCTCTGAGAAAATTGTATGGTATTCTTTGCTCATGCATTTACTTGAAAATGTTTTGGCATGAATCAAAAGTGGAGAGAATAGAGAATGTTATTAAAAAACGGGCATATTACCCATGAATCTAACTGTACAGAAATAGTTTTCTTGATTGATGTTTAAAGGAAAAAACGGTGGCAATCGACTTTAATCACCTATTGCTAGGTTCTAAAGATGGAGGGGCAGGTCTTTAGTGTATTTGCACATGGGGGTTACTCAGTCCTTTACGTCTTTACGTCGATGGGAAAATTATAAGTAATCAGGCTGGACTGGATGAATGGGAAATATATCAATATTTTAAAATCCTACATGCACCCTAGAGACCTTCCTGGACTCCACTTCAAGTCACTCCACCTAATTTGAGATGCTTGATTGATCTGTTAGGGGAAATTAATCCATATGTCTTATAAAGCCCTTCTGACTCAGGAGATTTACTTCCAGCATTAAATCATTCTTATTTCTTCCATTCTCTCTGTTATGTAATCCTTTCCAGGCTGTCTCCCATTTGCACCACTATATACCATATTCTCATCCTGTCCACATGGAACCAACAACGTCTCGAATGACAAATTTCAACTAAATTTTTGGGAAACCTTCTATGCACATTGGATGAGACACCAGGTGACCCAGAAGTTCCTAACTTTACACAATTGTGGATGAAACTCTATGGAAATATACTCAGTGTCACATGTGCAGGTCATTTCCTGAAATTTTCCTGAAAAATGACTATTTCTGCTGAAATATTTGCGTATCACCTACTCACGTTGTGTCACCCCATGAACATTTCCTTTCGTTATCATTTATCATTTTCCCTCCATAGGCTTCTGAATTTGGGAACTTTTTGGGCCACCTGGGATTCAGGGTAACCCAACTCACAATTTTCTTAGGAATGAGGAAGCATAAAGAGCAGAAGCGACTTTTTCTTTTCTCTAGTTTTCTCTAATTTTCCTGTGACAATTAATGACCTGTTCCATGTATATCTTACCCCACATGGAATGAACTTGCATTCCCCATTTATCACTTCATCTCCAGATATGATGCATAAAATGTGATTGAGAGTCGTGAAATAACTATTGATCCCCAAGCCAAATAAATGCTTTAGGGAAGGCCTATACTAAGATAATGCCATCCTCTAAGACAAGAAAGGCTTTCGTAACCTCTATGACTCATGACTCAAGGCATAGCAGTGGAGGGCTCTATCTGGAAAAGTGTAGAGGGATTCCATGTTGGAAGTGCGGCTAAAATTTTTCCAAAGTTCCTCTGTTTTCTACATGATGTTATTCTGTCTGCACACAGATGAAATTTCAAAATCATGTAACTGCACTTTCCAGCTCTGCATGTGTCAAATATGAAACCAATTCCACTTGCCATCCAGGAGAAATCAACCATTATGTCATCTGACTTTTTTGTCATTTCTCTGTGGCAAACCGGTTAAGGGAGAAGGATGCCGAAAATTAACATTTTCAATTTCATGTAGCTCATCTTTTGAATCATGTCTGACAAGAATGAAACAAATTTGGCAACTGGATGGGATTGCAAATGTGGATAGCACATCTGTATCTGTTTATCAGATGAAAAACAGATGTCATCTCTCATCTTACAGCAAGCAGTGCCACCACCTACTACAGTACTACAGGGAGGGAGTGATTTCATTCAATAAGCTATCTATGTTTTTGGGTTGCATACCAGATGGAGAAGAAATGAATGCTGAACAACCGTCATATTTCTCTGGCTTTCTGCCTCCACCAGTCCAACATCACCTCTAAGTTTTTCAATTTCATTCAATAAGCTATCTATGTTTTTGGGTTGCATACCAGATGGAGAAGAAATGAATGCTGAACAACCGTCATATTTCTCTGGCTTTCTGCCTCCACCAGTCCAACATCACCTCTAAGTTTTTCTTTAGTCATGTTTAAGCAGGCAATGAACTCTAATGAAAACATTATGACCTTGTTATACTATGCTGAATAATTTCATTAAAAAATATTATTTTGTAACTTTGCATGGCCTTACAAGTAATATTCTCATCATCTGTGATATATTTGCAGTCATGGCAGACTGCCCCCACACAATTGGAGTGGAGTTTGGAACAAGAGTTATTGAGGTGTCTGGTCAGAAGATCAAGTTGCAGATATGGGATACAGCTGGTCAGGAACGCTTTCGTGCTGTGACTCGATCTTACTACAGAGGAGCTGCTGGAGCACTCATGGTCTATGATATCACCAGGCGAGCAACCTACAATCACCTCAGCAGCTGGCTCACAGATGCCCGGAGTTTGACCAACCCCAATACTGTGAGTATCTGTATTCCTATTTTTTTCATGCTCTAGCACATGGAAGGTTATTTCTCCATGAAGTGGAGGTAAAGAAAAGATGTAAAGGTCATGCAGTCCCAGTTCCTGTCTGTAGGCACTCTTCCATCTAAACCTTTTTTCATTCTCTTATCCACAAAAGTCCAATGAGAGTAAGCTCCACAGCAATTGCACAACTGTCACTTGCAGCCAATATGTTTGGGAATGATTGGGTCTGATTTTATTGTTAGTTCACTCTTGGCTCAAATGAAAATGAGAAACTCAAGACAGAAAGCCATTGATGGCTTGGAATGAGTTGTAGGTGGTGTGTTTCATTCAAACCATTCATTTAATGCCTAGACCCGGGTCTAAAACATTCCAAAGTGAAAGTTCTATCTTAAGTCTTCAGCTGACACACATGAATGCCATTGAAAAGTAAGCAGTACACATGCAGTTTTCATATGTGCTACTACTTATGATAAAGATGGGTAATCCTGGAACCTATGAACTTTCAAAGTCTTGTTTTTTGGGGCTGGGAATCTGCTTGTTTTCCTCTTTCCCATACAACTATTTTCTCATAGAACTCTCATTCATGCTTTGGCTTTCACTTCATACTGCTATTGGGATCTCAAAGTTAAGCAGTTAGCACTGCATGATATGTTTGCATCAAGTTCTTTCATACCAGCAAAAATATCAGATGGATTTGAGTGAAACTGCACTCAATAAGAGATATTGATGAAAGTCTGAAGTGTGCTAGACTTGCAGTAAACATGCTAGCAAAATCAGGAGTTCTGAGAGTGGATTTACTTAAACTTTTGCCAAATTTAAAGCATGTTGAGTTCAACCAAAATCTTGTGATTGGCTTATGGTAGTATTTGTGAGAGGCAGAAAAACAGTATATTAGCTAGAAAGCTGCCTACTTGAAGGAAGTTTGGATTTGAAATATAAAATCAAGCCATTAGAGCTTGAAAATTCTTGCCTACGTTTTTTTTTTTAGAATAAAATGCCTTCATTGCAGAAAGTGGAAGTTGAAAGTTCTTTAAACATGTTACTTCTCAAATATCTGAATATTGGGTTGTCCTTGGCATGCATTTCCAGGTTATATTCCTGATTGGTAACAAGTCTGACCTGGAAGCCCAGCGAGATGTCACATATGAAGAAGCAAAGGAGTTTGCAGAGGAGAATGGGCTTCTTTTTATGGAAGCTAGTGCCAAGACGTAAGTTGGCTTGCAGTTTTTTCATAGTTCATTGAGTGATACTGATCACACCCTCCTAGTGATTACATTGTCAGAGGCAATGTAATCACTAGGAGGATTCATTACCCCATCTTTCTATACATGAGTTGTATAATTTGGTTCCTTACTTTTTTTACTCTTGTGTAGTGGGGAAAATGTGGAAGAAGCCTTCCTGGAAACAGCCAAGAAGATTCATCAGAATATTGAGAATGGGTAAGTACTAAGAAACTTCCTATTGGGTCATGATAGTTGAAAGCTTTTGCTACTTCGTTTTGAGATGAGGAGTAGAGATCTATGACATCATTGATGGTATCACTGGACCTATCCACTTTTAAGTGCATGCTATCAATTTTGCTATGATGAATTTTCTGCATCTGTCTCGGTATCAGTGAAAACAGCAATGCCAAAAGTCTTTTTATATTCCCTAGTTCAGTTTTATCTGCTTCTTTCTTCCATCACATCCTGAAGCATAAAGACACCCATGTCTTAGACATACAATGTGCAAGCAAAATGTTATGTTATGAGTACCTGGTAATGTTTTCTAACAAAAAATGTCTAAATCTCTCTTCTGTCTCCATTCAACTTTTCTATCACAATGGAGAGTTTTCGGGGCAAACTGAGCAACTATATCTAAAGTAAACTGATAGAATGCATCTGTCCAATCATTGAAATATCTCAGTAAAGCCATACCTTATAAATTATAAGCAGTCCTGTTGGCAAAAAGTTAGCTTTGCTGCTTGTGTTTTTTTCTGAAATAAGGTTGAATAGCATTGAGTGAACCTGATTTCATTGATTGTAACAGTTTGGAGGTAATTCCAAGTGAATCAACGACTGTCAAGCCTCCAGGGTCTGGTGGTACTATGCAACCTAGCAATGCTTCCAATTGTGCCTGTTAGGTAAGTCTTTTCAGGTCCCAAAGCTTTTCGTGTCAGGAAATTTCTTACCAAGTGAATCAACGACTGTCAAGCCTCCAGGGTCTGGTGGTACTATGCAACCTAGCAATGCTTCCAATTGTGCCTGTTAGGTAAGTCTTTTCAGGTCCCAAAGCTTTTCATGTCAGGAAATTTCTTTTTGAGGAAAGGTAATGCCTTTCTTTTTTCTCACATTGAAGTGACTGGAACTGTGTGAGGCCATCCATCATCTTGTCTGGTTTCCTGCTACAATTTGATAAATTAAAAGAGTAAGAAGACCACATTTCAGTGCTGGGACCCCATGAACCATTGATATAACCAAGGAAACTTGGTGCAAACAGTGTCTGGTGTCAGCTGTGATATCCATTGGCTCCACAGTGATAGGTAGGTGAATGCCACCAATGTGTATGTTTGTTATGTTATCAGCGAGTTGAGAGGGTGACCTCAGAGGAGCCAGATTGTCCCCTGAAAGAGTGGAAAACTTGTGTCATTACCACTAGGCATGTTTAAACTGAGGTCTCAATTGTAACATCTCTATCTTGGAAAGAATGTCCTTGCTGAAAAAAAAAGTGATTGCTAATTTATTCTTTCAGAATCACAGTACATAAGTGACATATAGTTGTTTACAGGTGATTTCCTGATGAAGCTTGCATGCAGAAAATATTGAAGTTGAGCATATGTTTTGTCTTTCATGAATCCAAGTTTTGACCATTCACAATTTTTAGTCTTCTCAAGCCTATAAAAAATTTGAAGTTTTTTTCTTCAGTTCAAGTCTTTTACACAATGTGGGTGATTTCTTGGTTCTCCTTCTGGATGTAATCTTGAAGCAGCCCTTCTAAACACTCCATAAAAAGAGCAGAATCATGGATGCAGTAGAATCTTGCTGGCCTTTGGTCTGTGTAAGAATTGATGGTTATTGTCCTGATCTGCTTGCTATGGGCCTATCCTGTTGAAACCTTTCCGAAAGATTTTCTGGAATTGGTTATTTTTTCACATTCATATTCCTTTGCTAGTGTGTATTTCTCTTGCAGCCAATCTTGTGAGCTTGTGATTGTTTTCATTTTATTCTAATAGTGTATAGTATCTTGTGACACTTGACTGTAGTACATGCATACATGTCTTCTTTATATGGGTCTTAAATCACTCCCTTAGTTTATTTGCATTATGCTGCTTTACACACCAGAGAAGCAAGGTCACTTGGGGTCATGTGTCTTGGAATCCCAGTCAAAAATGTATCCAGTGTTTTGTTGTTTTCTTTGATCTCCTGAATCATACATAATTAATTGTTGTTCCCATGCCACCATATTAAAATGCCAGAAGAATTATTATGGAGTTTTTGTGCCAGTTCTTGATTCTTTTGAAGGCCCAAGTGCATGATTGGGAGACTAGAACCACCCTTGCGGTGAAGGATGCTGTCATGATTTGTTGGGTATCTATAAGTCTTGAACAGTATTGCCTGCCCAATATTTCTGAATTCCACACTAGACCCTTGATTGTTTTGTTGTTCCTGTTTCATTTGTTATCCCTTATTCAACAGGCATGTCCTTGTGCAGTGTGATTGTAAGGAAGTATGCGTGGATGACCACATGCAGATTTCTGCATGTTTGAGGAATGAAAAGTTAGAAAAAATCCCTTTGTAAGATTAGGATAAGAATGAGAGACCAATCTCTGAAAGATTATTGTCCATATCTTCTTTGCACATCTGCGCCAATACTTTTTCTGTAAATCCCAATTTATATTTAAATATACGTGAGATTCAGGTCTGCATCACAGGAAAACAGACTCTGCATTAGGATTAGCATCACATGAACCTCTCCTCTGTGTATTTCTTCCTATGTTGCCCAAGTATAGTTTGAATATAGCTCTCAGGCCCTGTGCTCATGAAAATTATTGTCTTGCAAGGTAGGTTTGAAGTGAGGAAGTGACTTGCTTCTCAAAAAGTGTTGGTGAACAATAATACTAGGCAATTTCATATGCCTCAGACATATTCTATTGATTCATAAAAATTTTTTGTAAACAGAAACGATGTGCAGTGCAAGAACTTGCACAAAACACCATGCATACTTTTACCATGGCTACATCAGGAGTGCTCAAACTTTTCAACTCTTATGCTGCATGAACAGTAACTCTCTCCCTGGGGGTCAGTTATCTAAACCTTCACTAATAATCAAGAATTGATATGACCAGAGATGAGCTACTGAATTATATTTACTCAAATTGATTATTCATTATCATGCAAATTGGAACCATGGAGTAAGGCTTCCATTTACACAATTTTCAGAATATCTCTGGCTCTCTACAGGTCAGATCTGACCCATGAGTTTTATTTTGAGCACCCCTACTTTTTATTAATACAAATTTTTTTAAACAATGCCACATTGCATCAATCACATTCAAACAAATGGCAAGTCTTCATGGAGGCTTGCAACTTTCATTCCATGGGAAATGATACCATTGTAAGATACAGCATGCAATTTGATGCTGTTTCCATGGTAGGCAAGAAGGTCCTTTGTTACATGAAATTATCTAAAGGGCAAAGGGGAAGGAACTACAGAGCATTCCACAAAAAAAGGAGTTATCACATTCGTGCATTACGCAGGGAAAGCTTGATAGCTTGGGATCTATTCATTAGTAGAGTCTTCAATCTTTTTGTTATCAGCATGGATCATTGGCAAAAAGGTTTGCAGTCATCTGTCTGCCTCTGATGTCATTTTTGTATGTGGGATATCTCATTTGTATCTGTAGAATCTGCATTAAATACAAGGTGCCCCAAAAGCTCCTTGTCCCCTATCAACACCACTGCCATTGTTGAAGCTTTCACAGCACATTTTCCTTGTAGTACTGCTCCAAATAAACATTTGATTACTGCATTAAAATTAGATAAAATAACAGCATTAATTCTAAAATTTCTCTGATTTGTTTCTATCAATTCAATATTAATTGGGACAACTAACTTTTGGGGCACTCTGTATTTTTCCAATTTACACTTTGCAATTAAGCAATTAAGGTTTTTATTGCATCCAATTTCAAAAGAGGTGATTAGTTCAATTCATTTAAGTTGCTATAAAAATGTAGAGTTATCTCATTTTTCAGACCTAAGACAAAGTCATTGGTATAACATGTTTCCACCTGATGCATATTCCCTTCACCAATGCTCTTAAGTTTTAAAGCTAATTTTCCCTAAGTTAATTGTTCTTTTAGTTACTGGCTTATGACATTGGAGACAATTCAGGTATTCCATAATATTATTTTCAGTGATTTTTATATCCTTCCCTCTCAGTTCATAATTCTGCAGCCCCCTTCTGTCACGTTTTATAGGGAATGTAATTTGAAATTGCCAACATCTAGTTTTCTTACCTGTTTCCCATGTATGAGAAGTGGCTATCACAGAAATGACTGTGAATGTGTGAATGTCAATTCTGTTGATAGAAATGCTCACTGTTTCTAAGACATGCAAAAATAAAGAAACGAATGTGAAGAAAAAGTGATCTGATCTAAATCCCTGAAATTTTTATTATTATAAATATCCAAGCGGATATCAAATCCCTCTCCCTTCCCCCAATTCTTGCCATATCAAACTTTGCCTAACCCTCTTCCTTCTTTTGATTTGACATACTTGAAGAATCTCTTTATATGCAGAGAACAGATATTAGTTGATATCTTCAGCTTTGGAATGTAACCCAGGTGATATGTAGGCATTTTTCATACTCTTGCTCAAAGAAGTAGAGCATCTGCTTCAGTGGCTAATTAAATTTTTTTCCAAATTGAAACAGATTTCAGTGGTCTCTGCTCATGATTCCCCTCCAGATTATACTTAATGAGTTTTCTCCTTGACATTGATTTCAGGAAAGTACGGCATCTGCTTCAGTGGCTAATTAAATTTTTTTCCAAATTGAAACAGATTTCAGTGGTCTCTGCTCATGATTCCCCTCCAGATTATACTTAATGAGTTTTCTCCTTGACATTGATTTCAGGGATGGAATGTTGTGCAACTTGTCATCACACTTTCACTAAGTTATTTGTTTTAAAAGTCACCAGTCACCATTGTAACTGGGTCCTCAATTTGTTCATTCCATGATAGCAACTCAAATGAGAGACCACCATGATGAAGGTCAATGCAGAAAATTAGCAGCGTAATTGGCAATGAATGAGAATGTGAATAAAGAAAAAGAACAACAGGTGAAAACTGTCTTCCATGTAGTGGTGGAGATCTTGGAAATATAAGAAAGTTGCATCTGGTTGACATTGATCATCCTTCACTTGATGCTGTTGATCTGGCTTCAGCACAATGAAAGACTGATGGCTTTCTATGCACTGTGGTGCTCAGGTGGTGAATTCCTTGAGGATCTATTGAAAGGGAGGGTATGCAATTTTTGTATTATTGAATAAGAGTAAGAATTTCATATATTTCAAGGCAAACTCAGATAATTGAGGAGTATTCTGCAATTGCAGTATCACTGCAATATCCAGATTGGGAAGGAGTTCTTACTCTATATATTTTCAACATTCATATCTGATTCCTTCTTTTGTCTCAGGTCATTGACAAAATCTGAATCCTTTCACCACACACCTTGAAACATCTCTAACGTTCCTTACTTGTGGAGACCACTATCACAATGGCATTGAAAAACTTTAACCCTTTCGTGCATGAATTTTTAAAGCAAAACAATAATATGCCATTAATGGTTTAACGTTTAAGGAGGTACTCTGCCGTAGTAGTCGAATGTTCTGCTGCTAGAAAGCAACACCGAACAGATCATGTGATTTTGAATGACTGCACGCACCAAAAGTTTCGAGGTATGAGTATCATGACTGAAAACTCATAAGTATCGCCAAAAATGTTGCCGTCCACTACAGTGGACACCATGCACGATAGGGTTAATGGATGGGTTGCAGACATCCAGAAGTTCTATAGTCTTCAGCCTACCATGGGATTGTTATCTCTTCCTCCTCATGCAAAACCAGGGATCTGGAATCATTCACAGTGTTTGGGAAAGTATGAAAAAATACCCACATGCCAGGTCACTATGGTTCCAAAGTGATATATCTAATTCTGAGATCACCGCATGGGGAGGAATAGAGATTTAATCTGTTCAGTTTTTTGCGTGTTTACCAGAAATTAATGCCTTTTATTTGGATCCTCTATTGGTCTTCGTGGAATTCCTAAAAAAAAAGAGAAGCTCCTTCCCAATGGTTGAAAGATATCTAATTCTGAGCGTGCCTGGGGGGTCGCAAAAGTGACCATTTAGCACTTCGAGTCCCATGTCCGTAATGCAAAATTGACATGAAGCTTTTCCATTGGGAGCTCGTCATTAGTATGCTACTAACATGTTCTGACTAAATAAAATCATGACTCAGGACCAAGTCAATATCAGAAGACTGACTCGTTAATTTAATACCAGTGGTTTTCACCCCTCAACTGCGCAAAGTATTGAATTAAATATTTTGAATACTCTTGATCCATAAGGCATAATTAAAAGAAAAGAAACTGTAGCGCTTTGTCAAACGAGGAGCATGTCCTCCAACTGATTTATTCGGTAAGAAACAGGAGTATGAAGATGTGGTAAAGTTTTCTTGAAAGGACAATGCGTATCCCATACTAGTCCGGCATTAAGACTCAGAAAAAAAGTATATAATGTTCCACGAGGCCGGTTTTCATGAGCAATGAGCAAATTTCTGAGACACCATGCGCGAAAATCTAGGTTTTTTTTTGCAAGTTTACGTCAATTACGAGAGGCACTCAATACGTTTTTACGAAGCATTTTCACTTTCCAATTGGCAAAGGCTCAGGATACTTTTCTCTCGACATCCTCACGCAACATTGTATCTTCAGCGGGTCAGTGAAGTGTTCCCGGCAATCGGTCCTATATACACTAAGCCTCACAACTGAATCTACAAGAGTTTCTTCGCAGAAGAGTTGATGCAAAAACGGGATACAACCATGCAACAGAACCGAACGAACCAAACGCTAAATGGAATTGGATGGATTCTTTTTCTTAAGAAATCCTCAAGTCGGCTGGATTCTTGCTGAATTCGCTGAATCTGGAACCACAGGCTGTGTAAATCCTCAGGCCGCCCGCAACGCCATTGGTTCGAACGCGATCGGCGATGCAAAGAGAAGCGATCCCGTGCGTGTTTTCCGCTTCGATGACTTGGTGCCACATGATTTCCGATCCTTCAGTCCCTCGGACGGAGTCCATCGGCTTTGGGGGGAAACTGGTGGGATTCGCTTCAGATGCTTTTTTTTGCGGTGTTTTTACGCGGTTGATGGTCTCCCGATGTATTCCTGTACAAGTAGAAAATGTGTTAGTGTTCTGCCGTATTCGGTGGATTTTTTTATCATCTAGTTTGGGAAATATTTGACTCGTTGGGGTCTACGTCTGTATAACGGCAATGTGCCGGCACGTTTTGGGGTTGCTGTGGAAAAGAAAAAAGTCATATGCAAAAAATCGCGTTTCCTTTAGAAAATCCTTGACTGATCGGTGACTCATTGTGAAAAACACTCAAAACACCAATAAGTAAACGGCTGATGGAGCCAGGACTGTAAAATTGTACTCCAATCAAATTGAATATTGAAGTTGACGGGAAAATGTGAAATATATCCAATTCAAATTCGATCTCAAAACCAATTTTGCACCTGAAACGAATTCCTATTGACGTTCCATGGAAAAAGTGCTCACGGAGGATGGACGAGGAGTGCAGGTCAAGTTTCAACTTGAAGCTTGCGATAGAACTGTTTGTAATCCTCCTGGAGAAAATACAAAATTGAGAATAATGCAGTTTAGTGAATGAAGCCTTGTGCGTTCATCCATTGAACACGGCGAGAGTAGCTGTATTTAATACTCGTGCACTTGCGACAAGCTATGATCAAGGCGCCTCATTGAGCATTTAACGGGAGAATGCAGTTGATTCGGTTAATTGCATCAGCCGAGTGCCGATGTGGAAGGCTTCCGTGCCGATGCGGGCGGGAGACTTCCACATCGGCTCTGCGATGGGCTGGCGCCACGTATATGAGGGAGCATGGCTGCCTTGTGAACCGCTAACAAGCCCTTGGGTTTCGCGTCACAGGGCCGGTGCTCTTTCGAATTCGTGGAGGCTGAGGCCAAACTAATACTCCTGTGGATTTTTTTCTGCCGGTGCTTTTGAAACATGGTGCAGATGACGATGATTGCCAGGGTTTCCGATGGACTCCCATTGGCAGCGTCTATGCAAGAAGATGAAAAGGTGAGTTTTGGTTAGGCTAGGCCGATGGTTAGACCGACTTTGTAGGCATATCCTATGGTAGGGTATTCTATATTTTGCCAAACGCCATATGCATGGTTAGCCCTAGGGAAGCAAACATTCGGAAACTCTTTCGCGCTGCTTCCTTGTAGGAGTATGCCAGGCTTATCAGAAGTACATTAGGTGAGACTACGATATGGTTTGACTACAATAGACGGCATACCTGAGGGACAGAATGGCATGAAGCAGGGGAATATGGCTAACCTTGCCAGGCACCTAAAGTTGGCAGTGATAGGAACAAAGTTTCATCAAGGAATAGGCTTCAACTGATTAAAAAAAGGCAGTGTCTATTAGCAGAGCTGGCTCGGCTCTGACTTGGGGGGGCAAGCTGGAAAGTCACCTGACTCATAACATCTCAGTTCTTAGACCAATACTCTATAGAAGAGAGTTCAGCCTCTAAGCTGTGGCTGAGCTAGCTTTCTGAAGTGGAAAAGAATTTGTATGGTTAGGCTGAAGTCTAAAAGATGTGTATTCTAGAGAGATAGCTTTCATCATATTACTAGCACCATGTGCATCTTTTCCAGCAGCTTCAACCAAAGAGTAACTATTAAGATGCAGGATTCGACAAAATCCCTAAAATCTATATATTTAGGGTAGAGGGCTCATCCAAGGGCCTAGTTGTGTAGAGAGAAGAGCCCTTAATGGGTGATTTCAAAAGTTGATTTCAATTTACCCATGTTCCAACATAAGACATCTTAAATTAGTTAAGTTGCATGTCATCTACTTCTTAACCTGACATGATATAACACCTTTTAAACAACCATGATATACTACAATAATGAAGGGCTGTCTAGTTTTGTGCTGACAAGGTGAAAAAGATTGCTCAAAAGTCTTCTCACAAGGCAAACAAAGCAGCTTCCTCTACCTTGCAAGACATGCCTGTGTTTGGTGGTCTGCAGGATACTGTATTATGTTAGTAATGATGTTAGAGATTATTATTCCTAGTTTGGCCAATAGACACTGCCTAAAACATGATTAAAATTACTATGAAAATAAGTCTTCTTTCATGTGTTTAGCCAATCAATCTTTCTGTTGGTCTGCTTTATGAAGCACCATTCAAAATGATTTTATTTTAAGTGTAGTTTTGTTAGTCATTGGTTCAGAGCTGAATTAGCTACTTGATAGTCTATTTCAGTGTTTTACTTCCCACTTATAAAAGATTCAGCAACTCACAGCTGATAATTGTTTTATGCCCTAAATCTACACAAATCACAGTCTTATCAACTTCAAAATCTGGCCTCAGGACAAAATTTCAGAGTTGCATGTCATATTCACATATTCCTAGAGTAATGTGTTGTCTGTGATCCCAAGGAAATAATCTTATCGATGGTATGAAATCATAATTGTTCCATGGCTAAAAATCCCAGGTCTGGACTTGGAACATGATAAGTCTCTCTTGACAAGCTACTAACCTTGGCATGAAGAGAATAAGCTTGTGTTACTTGTATCAAAACTTGACATATGATTGTGTTTTGCTGAATCTTTTGATGTTCGCAGTCAGGAAGGAGTATCCTGGACTACCAGAACCAAGCGAAGATGCTATTCAGGAAGCTTACTGCCCAGAGTCCCCGCCGATGCACAATTGAAACAGGACCTTACTTGTTCCAGTGAGTGTTTTGATTATTTGCTTGATCAAAGCAATGGGATTCAGCCAACTGAGTTGCATTGGCTACCCAAGGCCTAACCTACTTGTTTTTCTCCTGGTAGTACTGTATCTCATCCATTGAATGTATGTATTTTCATATAAAGGAAGTCAGGATGGATTCAGTTTAGTGATGAGGGACCTTGATTTAATTTGCTTTTTCAGGCCTTCAGATGTATAAACACTCATCAAGAGGGAAACAGCATTGAGGTTATTGGTCCATAATCCACAAGTTAATATTCAGTGCAAATAAGATGTAGAATCTGAAGAAAAGATCAGAAATCATCTCAGATTACAAGTCTTGATTGTGATTATTCTGATGGTCGCCATAATTCAGGCCTGAAAGCATTAACCCATTGCAGTCCAATTTACTTTTAATTCTATGGAGATTGTCAGACTATGTCTGGCAGGGGGCCACAAAGGGTTAAGGGCTAGGGATAGGATGCTTATTATGCCTTTTCTGGTCCAGTTTCTGGGCAGGTGGGAGCTTCTAGTCTCATCTAGTTCATTTTTCTATTTGCAAATTTGAAAGTTAAATGACAATCTTATCTAAAGTAAAAGCTGATTTTTCATGATTGAACCAGGAAAAGCAAAATAAGAGAAGTATTCTGTACATACCAGTGGTTTTGCACATTTTTCATCTTAGGTTTCATGTTTGTTATTACCCAATGTTTGTTTTTTTAACCCAAAATTATTTGTTTAATGCAAAATCTTTGGCTGACAAGTGATACTGACATTGTAACTGTAGAATTATAGTCATTAATTTTTTTTGCTTTGTGTTCAGTGTTTGCTGATGCTAGTGTAGATATATTTTTTAGTAACCATGAGCTTATAATGCAGCAGTGCGTATTAATAAATTCCTGAATTTCTTCTTTAGCTACATGATTGAACTTGATGTTTGCTATCTTGTCCTGTGTGAGAAGACTTTCTCAAAGCGACTTGCCTTCTCCTACCTGGAGGATCTTGCAACAGAATTTCATTCCTTGTATGGCAAGAAGGTTCCAACTGTCACTCGTCCTTATACCTTCATTGAGTTTGGTGAGAGTCCTTTGTTGTATATATCTAAATTGTAATTCCATATATGTCCACACCATTCAAAGAACTCTTGGTTTTTATGTTAACTTTTGTTGGATGATGTACCAACCTTTGAACTTTAATATCACTCATCATGGTCCGCTTGGCTGTTATGCAATTACCCATATCCATATGCACTTTCTGATTAATTTTCTTTTTTCTCCCCGAAACAATAAAATAGTAAAGCTCTCTTTGTAAAGAGTGCAAAAAGGTGGCTGCAGAAGGAAAGCCTCATTCAAAAATGTTAAATTTATGTATCAATTTGGTTTGCAATGTGAATATAGGCTTTCATATTGAGTCAAGACCATAGAGAGTGTATAATGGAGGGGCCTCTCCTATGGTGCAAGGTGCTACACTCCTCCAGGTGTGGATGCCATCTTAGGTTTGGAGTCACACATGAAAAGGGGGAGGGCAAAAGAGGCAATTTTCCCTATACTCCATGCCCACAGGCCTCCACACCAGTACCTACCCCCCATCATGCTATTCATTCACCTGTACAATTCCAGCCCCAAGATGGCAGAGGCTCTTGTATCTCTCGAGGCAGCAAAGGCCTCTCCAAAAGCATCTATACACACATTTTGGTTAAGGCTGCAACCATCTAATTAATGGATACGGAATGCATGGACAACTCACCTTACCTACTTGTTGTCTTTGGTAACCCTGTTTGTATACCCTAATGATCATCATGTTACATACAGAGCTACCAGTATGTGTAACATTTTATACAACTTATTGGGAATTTTTTTGTATGACCTTGGCTAAATAAATGAGATCTTTACTATGTTAAGATAATGACCTGATATTTTAAAAATGTTCCCAGTTTGTAAAAAATTTATTCCTAAAATATTCTCATTTTTACATTTTTATGATTGGGAACATTATAAATATTTTATAAATGTGGTACAGTGAAATATTAGGAAGAACTTAGATGAACTTACATGGTACAAATAATCATATGCTGTTCATCCCCAGTGACACCACTTTCTGTCAATCCTGGGTACAGGATTTATTTGCTTTGTTGTCCTTATGGTAGGACTTCTCAACCCAGGGAAGCAACCCCATTTGGGGTCACCAAGATCATATTTGGGTTGTGAACTGGCAACTATATGCTGAGTTATGTTTTTCTTTGCGATTTTAGTGCATGGGTGGGGGAACCTGTTTGACCAGTGCTTGGGGTCCTAAATGGTATGATTGTGGTTTTTGGGATTGTGAGGGGAAAAAGTTGGGAAGCCCTGCCCTATGGCCTCCTTAAGGATTGCTGAAACAATGTCTGTTTTAAGTGAAACTTTTTTCTTGAGCCAAAATTAAATTAAGTCAGATTTTATTTAACATTCCCACTATGTGACAAATACATATATTGTTCTGATTTTGATTTCCTTCTCTTAAAAGTTAGAATATCCAACATTTTCAAGGCATCTTCAAGAAAGCCTCAAATTTAATCTCCAACAAACTTTCTTTGTTGCAGACACCTACATACAGAAAGCAAAGAAGGCCTTTGCTGATTCCCGAGCAAGACGCAACTTGGCAAGTTTGAACACAGAGCTCCAAGATGTCCAGAGGATAATGATGGAGAACATTGATGATGTCCTACAGCGGGGAACTGCAATTTCAGGTATATACTGGCCTGGTACATTGAACCTGTTAAAAGAAAAGTGTATAAAATGCACATGACTATCAATAGTTGAGGACAAGCTAGAAATCGTATACATCACAAAAAATTCATGGACTCAGCATCATTGCCCATAGTGCCTTTATTATTATTTTTTTAATAGTAAATTTTGCTTAATAGTGGAAAAGGGTGTTTTGATACCGTTCCCTATGCCCCAACCATAGAAGGTAGGGAACAGCTATCCTGTTTGTATTTAAAAATAAAAAAGTTAAGCATCTTTCAGACAAAACCTTCAGAACATAGATATGGGGTTTTCTCCATGTGTGCTTTCAACATTTCCAAAAATAACAAATTTATACAAAATTTATTTTCAGAAAAAGCTGAATCACAAAGTTTCTTTCAGCTTTTTTGCATTTCATCTGAATTCTTCAATGTAAGAAGGCACTCCTTCTAGATTCATATAAGACCTACATTATTGAGGTTTTCTTTTTTGCTTATGGCCATGTCCATGACCAGTGTCCTACCTCTTGTAGAGGCATGTAGTGGAAAATTTTCAGAATAATTGAGTCATTTGTACTTCATAGGCATCATAGATTGTCCATACATTCCTCAAATGACCCTGGTTTTGCACATCACTTGATTGTCTTGATACGAGGCAAGGTAACCTATGTGGTAATATTTTTGAGAGTTTTAGTTGCACAATAGTTTTTATTTTACTTTTGATAGTAGATTTTGTTAGGAACATATTCTAGTACTGTTCTAATCCTTTAGGAGGATTTCATTTTGGCATTCCAGATTAAAAATTTCTCTTGAAGAATGAGTTCTTGGAAGCTATTTGGATAAATCACACTGATCCATTCATGTATTCTTTTGCCATATTTTTACAATGCAAACTTGAAGTTTTTTGACAGGTATGACAATGAAATTTCATTGAGTTCAGACTAGAATTTTCATACTTGCCAATGTATATGTCTGGGAAAGGAAGTCTGCCTCTGCCTCTGGAAGCTATTCATATCAAGTCTTGCAATTTATATGGAGGAGAGTCTCCATACTGTCATGTGATGTGCTAAACTAGGCTAGGGTAAATTGAATTTGTGTACAAAAAGTTGCCACTACCTCCAGCAAAGTCTCATGCATGTTGCAGCAAATCAATTTCTTTCTCTGGTGTGTCTCTCCCCAGTTCAACCAGCTCATCACTGATATCTGTCATGATTTTGCTACTCCTGACTCGTGTTCTATGATATTTGTTGCAAGTAATGTCTTTTTTTCTCCATAGAGCTGGAAGGTAAAGCCCAAGGACTTTCAGTGCTCAGTCACAAATACAAGAAAGATGCAAGATACTTGAACTTGAGTTCAACATATGCCAAAGTGGCTGCTGCTGGTGTTGTGATCCTGGTGATATTCCTATATTTCTTTATTTTTTGAAATTTATCATCACCTATCATGACCTCAAGATCAACTTGAGGTACTTTTTATGGAAAGATGGGAAGTTTGAAGTAATCTTGCAAGGTTTCTTGGATTACAATTTATTCTTGATCGATTTTTTATTTCTTATTTATCCAGGTGTTGCTCACAAAGGCTTCCAATGAAGATGTCACAATAGTGTCATCTAAAAGGTGAAGAATTGTGAAACTTTCATTCCAGTGAATATCTGGCCATGCACAGCCGTTTATTTGAATGAAGCTCATATCTTTCCTGAATTTCCCTCTATCAGTGTTTATGTCAAGGAGAAAGGCCAAGAATTTGGTTTAAGTTAGTTCTGTTGCTCTTCTACTTTATTTAGGTGTAATGTTGGACTACTTGGAGAAAATTACATGATTGACAAATTTTCTGAAAGTTGAAAAAGTTGGAATTAATGCTTTGGAAACCCACTTTTCTTCAGTAAGTGAAGTGTCTGTGATACTGGACAAGCATGCATCTGTGAATCTGCCAGTGACATAGTCCAATAAGGTTTGCTGCAAGACAATGGAAAATGTCATCCCATTTCCATGGTAGGCTTTCTGGTTATTATTCCATTTAATGGAATGGATTTGAAAATTTGTGTTCTTCATTCTCATAAAGTAAAATTGATAGATATGAGGTTGGAAGTCTTCCTTCCCTTTGTCTATTCACAATATGTGTTACAGATCCATCACAAGTGTCATCTCAGTTGCCAGGGTATGGAAAGAACTAGGAATTCAGGCTATTGAAAATACTTAATAATAATGAATTTCAAAATTAAATATTTTATCAACTTTTCAGGGGGCAATCACCTTTCTTTTTTTGCTGAGCTTTACCATGACACATGACTTGTTGGATTATGTCAGCATGATATGCTGCAGGATTCATCTTCCTGATTTTGAATGGTACATACCATATTCTGGTATCATGAAAGTCTTGAAGGATAGGTCCTGACAAACTGTCACATTTTGGCTGTTAACTGATTAACATGATTCCCACCCTGAGACTGGAGCATTTTGCTCAGTGAAATTGGTCATCATTTTTCTGTGAGTTCTATTCCCAACTGCCAAAGGACATCCTCAGAAAATCCATTTCCATCCATGTTTTTCATGTCCTGGCATCTTTTATGAGACATGATTGTTTCATGTAGATCACTTTACTGACACCAACACTGTCACATTTACTGTTTTATTTGTTTATTGCACACAAATGGAAGCTTATAAGTTCATGTTGAGTCAGACAAAGACTTGGATGTGAAAAACTTTGAATGATGCAGATTTTGAAAGATGCATTATATTTGACCATGAAAATGAATTCATCAGCAATAAAAATGACATTTAGCCACTTCAGCCCCATTGTTGCACATGTGGTTGTCATAAAATGTTATCATGATGTCAGTGACAACCAAGTCATCACCAGTAAACTGGCTCTGCAGAAGAAGGCATTAAATTTCTTTCTTAGATCCTAGCACCAAAAGAGTAGAAATAAACACTTGAATTTTCTGCAAATGGACAATATGGCATTTTCCCATTGCTCCTGTATCTTGTTTCAAATGAGAGCCTCAAATAGGCAGCATACAGAACCATCCCTCATTCAGGTGCTTTCTGAATGAGGTGCTGGCCACCTTGTGGATCATATCACCTCTTCTCATTTGCAACTGTTCTCTCTCCTTTTTTTAAATATTGCACTGCATGCTATCCTTCATAGTGATTCATGTGAAAGTCCCAATAGAAAGAATCTCACAAATTCTTTTTTGAGATTTGATACTGAACCATATGAAAACCTGGGGCTGAAGCAGTAAACATGTCAAATGTTGGTGAACACACACTTTGATGATCTGGGCCTTAGACATGCCTTCATCCTGCATTGGACCTGTCAACCCTCTTAAGGCCTGTGAGGACTGAGGAGGGAAGTTTCCTTTTCCTAAACTTCTTTCACATTTGTTAGTGAAAGTACTTTCCAACAGCCAACCATTCTACTCAAAATTGAATCCCTGGCCTTTACCTGCGAGTGTCAAAAATGAGTCAATTTGAATTGTTCTTGCATGTAGTGGAACACTTTGTGGGATTTAGGTGGATGGCATTAATTGAAAACTGGAATGCTACAGTTTCACTTGTTTTGATGCCCTGTTCTAAAATTTTTAAAGATGATTGAGTAAAATGACCATTTGTCATACAAGTATCTGCCTCTGTCTGTGCCTGCCAACATTTCAACATTTATTAAATACTACTGGTTTATATTCACCAAATTATTTGGTTTTGGAAATGTGTCATTCATTTCATGAAGAAACATGGTTGTATGCTGGGAGACTACTCTGCCTTACCCATCTGCTGTCTGTACTTTTTACATTCCTCTTATACTAAAAATTTAATTGGTGACTAAATGAACCTTGCCCTACCCAACTTGTTGACTTTGTCTCTTTTTTCATCTTTATTTTTTACCCTACACATGTTTTAGTCAGAGATAAGTTTCACTTCTGTGTGGCTTTTGGAAGAAAGCAATGTGAAACAAGACTGCATGCTTCTGAAAAGCACCATTGTGTTCATCATGCACTCCAGTATAATGGACAATTTTTCAGAAAGCAACAGTAGTCTTCCTGTAAAAAGGCAATAAAATACATACATTTCTTATCTCTTCAAAAAAGCATTGACTTTTAACAGTGTTTTACTTACTGTAAGAAATTTCTTTCATAGATCTCTCCCTAGAATATAATCCCAACATCTCTAGTCATTTAGAGGGGCTCAGTACTTCTCATGACATTGTCAATGGGGTTGATACTGGGCAATGTATATGATGGCTTCCCTGAATAGCAAAAGCTTTGAACATGGCAAGAATGGTAGGTATCAGAGGAGTAGGTTTATTTTTCCTATAAAAGCTAATATGAGGAATCATGGAGGAAACCACACTGTAATAATAGCTTTGAATGCTCAGCCTTTTTGTAGAGTATGCCAAAATGAAGGAACTTGATTGATGGCTCTATATATGAAATGGGAGACTGGATTTCTATTGAAATCATTGGAACATTGTTTCCATCCATGAGTCTCCAATCCATGAGTGCTTTACATTATAAAAATGTGCCTGTGATTTGTTCTGAAGAGTTTTTTTTATTCCTATGAAATTATACTTTCTTGCCCTAAATTCTGGAACAGTGATTGGCATATTTGCATACCACTTGGTAGATGTGATTGAATGAGAACTTGTTCATGACTCACTGTAGTTGAATCAGTACTGCAACAGGTAAACATATAAGAGTAGTATTCATTTCTCCCCATTTTTTTATAGGTACTACCTCAATATGAGTAAATATGAGGTAGCAGGGAAGTGAAGTTATCTTGCTCATTCCCCATAAAACAACATGCTGCTGTATAAGGGGAATTTTTTCCCTTCATTCACACTTCTCTCCATCATCTTATACCAGGTGAGGACTACTTACTTGAGTTGGTGACTTAGTGAAGTCGAAAATATCATTTTTTGCTACCTATGAATGGTATTCATTATCAGAATTTTCTATTGCATTTAACGTCAATGCCCTAATTCACACATGCAATCTTGTGGCATTAGCCACAATTTCAGCTGGGAGAGGTTGAAATCCCCAAGCATAGCAAAAAATTTTGCATCTGTCATTCCTGGTTGGCTCAGCTATGAAGTTACTATAATGTCATGTAGTATAACAACACGCAGCCTGCTATGCATAATGATTGTAGGTCTCAAGCAGAGCTGCCGGCTGCAAAACATGAACTGGCCTTATGCACATCTGCCATGCAGCTGTTTTTCTGGGAATGCAAACGTTTTTGAAATGTAACAGTTGAATTTGGGGGTTTAGTTTTGAGAATGCCTGAAATCTGCTGACTGTTTTCATATCCACATTTTTCATACTCCTTCCCATAGGTTGAAAGGATACTGGCAGAGTTGTCAGCAGAGAAATGCCTGGATCTTGGGCTTAATTCAGCCACTCTTCTCTGCTCTTCCTGTTCTCAGCTCCAGGAATTCAAGCTTGATACTCTGCTGTGAGTGATAAGCATCGTAACACATCTGGATCTGTGGATCCATCCCTCTCACTATCTGTTTATATTCCAGTTTCTTGTATCTGGGAAGTGGTGTGATTTCAATGTAAAAAGGGAAAGTGGAAAGTTGAAGGAAAAGTTTGGGACTTCTAATCCTCTGTAAGTGTTAGACAAATAGCTCATAAATTAAAATATTCAGCATTCTCTGCAACAACAAGCTAGAGGTGGATACCATTTGGTTTCACTCATGAATCTCATAATCGCAAAGTTTTAAGCTTGTAACGTAGATTCACAATTTATTGGAAATCTGTTACCCATAGTCTCCTAGCATGAAGAGCTTTGTCTATGTGAGACAAATCGGACCCAGTCATTGCATGTCAGAGATTCGCCGAATAGTGTCCATTTTATGAGTAAGCATGCATTTCTAGAGATTCTCTTTGAAACAATGACATGTGCTTATTTGTGAAGGCATTAAAAAATGAAGGCTTTCAGGCATAAACGGGGGGGGTGGGGGGAGCTTGCTGTTGAGGTGCTTGCCAAAAAGAGTTTGAGGGTGGATAGGGTGAACCAATTAGTGGACCACTTGTTGACCGGAAATCTTTTGTACCGTTGGCCTTTAGGAAGCCCTGCCTTGAATGTTGCAAAAGGGATGAAGGACAGGGTGTGAAGAAGTACCTTCGAGCAAGATTGGAAGTGTGTCAATGAAAATTGGGAGCCTATCCTCAGGTCGAAGGTAAGTTCTCTGGAACCTTCCTGGTCCTCGGCGAGGATTTGAACTCTGTCGATTTTCTGTGGTGGGTGATGAAGTGACTTTAAAGCTTAGTGTGAATGAAGACTTCATGCGAAGCACCTCGAAAAAAAAAGAGGAATTCGAAGATGGATGAGGAAACGGAGTATGCAAAGTAACACGTAGGTCTCAAATACATTTTTTTGCAAAAAAAAATATTGCATTTCATTGGACAGCATTTCCTAAGCAATAAGTCCATGAGCCCAAGCAATACATAATTTGTTGGTCTCCATCATATATAGATAGCAAGAAAATCGAGTTCATTGCCCCAAGATTGAACCATATGTCGCATAGGTTTTTTAAATTCATGAGGGGGTATCTGCATATATGTAGATACCTGAATTTTATGGCCGATAACTCAGTAACTATTTCTCCTTTGGTTTTGAAATTTTTAGCATGTTTTTCACGGGAACAGTATAATTTATTCTCATGAATTTCGTCGCAGTCGATGGCGTCAGCTCTGGCATAGGAAACCTCTCTTAGAACCTTTGTCAAAACAGCGTGAAGTTTTTGCTCTCCCGAGCGTTTATGATGTTCCAACTATGGACTCTGTCCCTATAGAAAAAGTAGGTTTTTCTTCATGTCCTCCACCCTTTTGAATGTTTAGTTCATTCTCGTGCGGTGTCGGACGATCCCGATGCCTTCGTGACCATCCAGAGCAGAGTTGGCCGCGATTTCCGTGGGAGATGATGGGCCAGGTCGGCTAACTTCGGTCCCGTCGACTCGTAACTGGGCGTTATTTATGGGACGGTCTCAAACTTGTGATGACCTGAAAGACGCAATAGTGGAAAAAGTGCGAGCGACTACACGTGGAAAGATCTGAACTTTGGCCGAGCATTGGAAGTTTCGCTGACAGACCGGAGACGGCAATCAAAAGTGACGGTAATCACTTGGAGCACTTTAAGGGAAACTGATGGCCTCAGCGCGAACTGTAGCTGGGGAATCTTCCTTCTTGGCCCTTTCCCGGGCGACTTGATGGTTTGCTCGCAAACACGGAATTCATGGGGATAAATCTTACTGTCCCTCTTTTTCTGCAAAATTGAAATTTTCATGACGCAAGGGGTGCACCGCATCGGTTTAGGAGCTAAACTGATGTGATTCCAGGAAAATATGTTTAAGAGTGAGTTGAAGTAACCGTTGAACTGATTTGTGACATGCACCAAATGCAATCTGTTTATTTCTCTCTTAAACTAATCTTCAAAGATAAACTTGTTCCATAGCAGGTTTGATTCTCCTTAACGGAATCTCAGAGGTAGTGCAGCATGCTGTTTTGTCGGAGTGGGCCCCAGTTTTCTTGCCTCTCTCATCGTCAAGCGACGGTGGAAATGGAAGCTAACGAAGAAATGGTAATTCCAGACGTCATCCTGAACGAACCCGCCTGGAGGACTATCGGGGATCGACTCGATCCCCTTGAATAGTACAGTAGAGATGAATCCCAAAGAAGGCTTTGCCTTTCAAAGGATACCGTCTCCGACTTGGTGCGGAAAATGGAGCAGTAGTCGGCACATGATACTCATCATTCCCTTTCTAAGTGCAACCACACCGCCTCTAAACGCATTTGCATCGTGGATAAACGTGTTCATGGAAACTAATTTGATTTTCGATGGTGTGTGTCAAAAATAAACGCAATCTTAAATATGATTTAGAAGTAAATATGTTTACTTCGTTTTTAAAACTAATCCGATTCCTCAGTTGGTACGTGTCACCCGATAACTCGTGAATAAGTTCTTGGGGGAACAAGCACCAATTGAGGAATCAGATTAGTTTAAAAACGAAGTAAACACGTTAGCTTCTAAATCATATTTGAGGTTGCGTTTATCTTTGACATGAACCACCGAAAATCAGATTAGTTTCCGTGAACACGTTTATCCATGACTTATACGCGTTTAAAGGCAATAAAGGCACTTGGAAAGACGAAACCTTGTTCGGAATTCGTTTCCATTGAACCATTCCAGAGGATTGAACCGATATCTGACAGGCGTCCTGGTAGTTTGGTTCAGGATTATGTCAGAAACATTTAGGTTTTCATTGGTTTCCATTTATCTTTGAAGATTAGTTTAAGATATAAAAAATACTGCATATCAGAAACGGCAACTTTCAGCTCTTAAACATATTTTCCTGGAATCACATCAGTTTAGCTCCTAAACCGATGCGGTGCACCCCTTGCGTCATGAAAATTTCAATTTTGCAGAAAAAGAGGGACAGTAAGATTTATCCCCATGAATTCCGTGTTTGCGAGCAAACCATCAAGTCGCCCGGGAAAGGGCCAAGAAGGACGATTCCCCAGCTACAGTTCGCGCTGAGGCCATCAGTTTCCCTTAAAGTGCTCCAAGTGATTACCGTCACTTTTGATTGCCGTCTCCGGTCTGTCAGCGAAACTTCCAATGCTCGGCCAAAGTTCAGATCTTTCCACGTGTAGTCGCTCGCACTTTTTCCACTATTGCGTCTTTCAGGTCATCACAAGTTTGAGACCGTCCCATAAATAACGCCCAGTTACGAGTCGACGGGACCGAAGTTAGCCGACCTGGCCCATCATCTCCCACGGAAATCGCGGCCAACTCTGCTCTGGATGGTCACGAAGGCATCGGGATCGTCCGACACCGCACGAGAATGAACTAAACATTCAAAAGGGTGGAGGACATGAAGAAAAACCTACTTTTTCTATAGGGACAGAGTCCATAGTTGGAACATAATAAACGCTCGGGAGAGCAAAAACTTCACGCTGTTTTGACAAAGGTTCTAAGGGAGGTTTCCTATGCCAGAGCTGACGCCATCGACTGCGACGAAATTCATNGGGCACTCACGAGACCTGTCAAGACATGTCACAGCAGGCACAGGCCTGTTGCTCATCTCTTTCATATTCAGGTAGATAACTTATTGAGTGGCCCTCGTATTTGCCTGGAATCAGATATGTTTAGCTCCTAAACCGATGTATCGACCCCTGACGTCCTCTGGCCACTCAGAATAAACATTTTCAACGTGATTCCGAACGATTATTCCTACCCGCACCCGACAAAGGCTTTTATTGGCGCGAGGCGGCGAAGAGATTGAGATGGGGCTATACAAAAGAGCCGAGGAAAAGAAGTTCGGCTGAAAGTCCGGTTCTTCTGGCCCGTCTGGATGGTTCCCTTTCCGTCCCATTTACGATGGTTCCAGCTTCAGGGGTAGATATGAATTCTTCCATTACATATTAATGCGAGAATTTAATCAATTTGAACTTGGCAGGTATTCCAGTAAATTAAATTTCCCACGTAACGAAATCCATTCCCCAATGCTTTTTTCCTCAATAGGAGTCCGTTTGGAGTAATCGATCTCTTCAAGGTTCCCATTGCTTTTATACGCGGTCGTGTGTTTTGGCGAAGTGGTACTAATGGAAGGATTGGAAGTATCCTGCTGCTGCCCATTCCCTCCGTAAGGCGGGAGGAGTCGGCCGTATTCGATCGGGAATGGGAGTCGGCACACGAGAGGATGGAAAGAAAAAACTAGCGCTGCTTTGACAGGAAGACCGATGCCGGAAGTAATTCGCCCCAGCGCTCGTTTAGTAAACGCGCCCCTGGATCTAGTGGAGAACCCTTCTGCGAGCTGCTTGCAATCGTTTCAATCGATGGTCGTAATTGTTGGAGGGGGCGTGGAAGACACGAGGAAGAAAATGAGGAAGAAGGAAGTAAATACAGACGTTCGCTTTTGTGGTGTCTCGCCCAGGCGAAGTATTTTCTTTGGTTTCTCTGCGAAACCCAGACAGGAGTCAATCCAGAGAGTTTTCTCGAAAGTTCATTCAGAATTTCTGTTAGTTTACAAAAGTTTGAGTCTGCAGGGTATGCAAAAAAAAAACCAACGACTTCGAATGTATTCAATGATTCTTTTAGCATGATCTCACCAAATTTGGTGAGGGTTTCTCCTTGTCTTCATTAATTTGAATGTTAATCAAATTCATTAATTCAACAAGTTACGAACGATATTCTATTACAGGTCTGTTATGTAAAATGTACAGTTCCTTCAAATATATAATGCGACAGCCCCGCTCCGGGAAAGTATGATTGGAACGTTGGAGCACCCCGTGAAAGATGGTAATATCTCATGCATGGTCAAATTCACATTTTTTCCAGTTGCAATTTCATGAATAGCTTCATTTCATTGCTTCTTGGATCCAGAGAGAAAACCTCTCTGGATTGATACGAATTGATCAATTGCTTTTCGTATTGGACTCAAGAAAACAAAATGCAAGAGACGAACCGCCCAAATAATGAATTTAAAAGTCGTTGGTCTTCTTTTGCCATACCCTGTATATATATTTTTATTATTATGAGAACTGCGTGAATGAAGCCCATGTGAATGTGACATATACCGGTATATGACCATGTGCTAGATAGGGTCTGACATCACGAGAATCAGCTTTCGGAAGTGTTTGTTGTGGATTGCGGTGGTAGTGTATCTTCTGAAGGATAATATTGTTGAAATAGGAGTAGAACCTCGGCTATTTGATTGTGATGGTTCTGTACAGTATGTGCACAAAAATACGATTGCCTTTTTTTCAGCCTTCGTAAAGAGCGATCGACCGAGGAAGTTCCCCGGTTTGGAAATATTCTATAAAAGAGGTCAAGATCCGATCATAAAGCTGATGGACGATGCTGGACACGTGGAAGAAGTGAGTCATTTATTATCGTTTTGGCTCATTTTAACTGGTTCTTGGTTTTTCTATCTTGGCTTTTTTTTGCACTCGTTTGCAGACGTTGTCGATCGACAAGTGGAATACTGATTCTTTGGAGGAATTCCTCACCGAGGCTCTTCAGCAAGATCCCTCGTGATCTTGCAGATGTGTTGGCAGGAGTTGAGTTTACCAGAATGAAGGCCGAGTCTCAAAGTCTCTCTCCGACTGGATTCGGCTGGATGTTTTACAGGAAACGAAACTCTTGCTGGAAGAAACTCCATATTTGTGTCTCCAATAAAGGTGAAATGTTGTGACTCCATGCTTGTCGTTTGTCGAAGTGGCCTGTAGTGTTGAGAAGTGGGAATTGGAGACCTCGAACCGAGGGTGGGTAGAAGGGGTGCGCGAAACTCGCAATAGAGGAGGCTTTTGCGAGGGATCGCTCGTCGATGGCGGAAACCGAGTGAGGCACGTCTCTCGCCGAACTTCCGAGTGGTTCGCGAGTGTGGATGCATCCTGGCGTGCGGGAGGTGGGTGGTGGCGAGGCGTTGTGTGACGGGGCCGCGGAGGGGCGATGAATAGAAAAACGCAGACACTCGAAACGGGGGGAGGTCTACATGGAGTCACGATGCCGCGGTCACTCGAAGGGATTCGGTAAGGGTCAGTCTGGGCAAGGAAGGGGTGAGATCGTTCCGCGTGCCCCGTCGGATAAATGCATTGTTTGAAAGTTCGTCAACAGATTTGAATTCTTATAAAAGGAGGGTAACGATTATCATTTTTTGGTAACGCGGACTAGAGGTTCGTCAGACAAAAAAAAATATTTGCTTTCAAATGGAAACTCTCTGGAACTTTTACGAATGGATGTGAAAATACGCCTTGATGGACGCGACAAGTAGTAAATTGTCCTCAGAGGATGACGAAACGTGGAGGAAGACACAGGTGGCAACGAAATGGATTCCATCAGAGGGAAAAAAGGGGGACGAAACACTTTTTTTTTAGACGGTCTTGCGTTATTTGCGATTCTCGACGTAAGGTTCCTTTAATATTCATAATGGCTGTTGCCCCAGGCTGAAACTCCATGGTTTTCGAATTATGATTTCGTGTTAAATAACCAAATACGGCAAACATCAGAATTCCGTTAAAGGGGAAGACGAATGGAGGTGACCGGTAAATCGATAAACCTGCCCCAGCTTGCTTGCAATTCGAAGTTCTGGGATTCTTGAGGCCACTCGGGACGTTTCCAGGCAACGAGCACACACTTTTCATACGGAAATAACGCGAAAATACCCCGAAGGAAGAGCGGAAAAAAGAAGGATCCTTAATCCCGGATATTCCCTCTCCTCCCTCCCAATCTCTTATCTCTTTCCTCCCCTTCGCCTTCTGGCCGTGCGAGTCCGTTCCCCAGGGCTTCCCTCCGTCTTCCACGCCCAGACGACCTGCCAGAGCGGCCAACAGCCGACGGTCGTCCCTTCGCTCGTCCATCTCGGCACATGCTCCTCGGACCCCATGTCTCGCCTGGGTCATCTCTCATTATGCGAAAGGAAGCTCGTTACTGGACCGATCGTTCTCTGGCCTCTTTTTACCCCAACATGCGCATTCTCCCCCGAGGTCGAGGACAAGGCCGTGCCCCCACAGAGCCACCGTCGTCGCCCGCGACACTCGAGAAAACCAGATTTCCTCGCGACGAAGTATAGGAATCCTTCCACCCTAGTCCCCCCCGCCCCCCCCCCCCCCCCCCCCCCCCAAGTATAGGAATCCTTCCCCCCTCGCCCCCCCCCCCCCCCCCCCCTCCCCCTCCCCAGGGCCCCCCCGATGTTTCACTCTTGTCATTCCCCAGCCCTTTCCCCTCGTCCCGCTGCTGCTCCTTTTAATAAAACTGGGATGGCAGATATGAAATTATGCAAATGGAATCCCGGAACCATCACCCCATTTTTCCTTGCCTCATCTACGATGCAATATGCGGGCATACGTCGAACTCCCTCCTCTGCACCTGAGGAAAGCTCTGTTTCTTGGTTTTTCTGCTTCGGCTTCATATTAGGGACGTCTTGCAGTTACGACAGTTTTTCACTGTCGATTGGATCCAAGTATCGCATCGCCTGACCAGTTGACATGTGAAACGAATTGAAGATAAAGCATGCCAGTGCTTCCCTAACAGGGAATCCTCTTGCTTGGACAAAATAAACAACTAAACAAATTCCTGATTTCCGTAAAAAATTAATATATATGCAAGGTTCTAGAAAGCCTCCTCGGGTACAAAACAATAAGAATCATGCACACAAACCTTTTAGTGTGACGATACGACGCACTTCGAATATTTCAGAGCCTTTGGACACGTTTTGTTCCTGAGGGGGAATATATCCTATGACACATATCGGACCAAATGAAGAGCCTGGAGGAACCCTAGATAGCTCGCTCGGCTCGAGAGTTTTTACTTCTTGGGGGTGTGTCATTTTGACACGTTTAGTCCGATGATGTTCGAGAGGAGTAGCAAAGTGCCTGGGGGTATATATCGGCGCGCATTTGCCCTCAGTCTATCTCCCCAATGTCTGCCTCTCCATTGTCTGTTTAAAATCAATTCCTTTAAAAGTTCCAAGAAAGGAAGGAGCAAATTTTATCTCCGGAGAGGGGAGGTTTGAACTCTCCCCAGCCTAGACACGTACCTGGTTAAGTACAAGACTTCAAAAGCTCTCATATGACGTAGACATTAGTGGCGCGAAGACCTAGGTGGGGCACAATCTAAGGTGGTGGTGTGGCTTGTGTTCTTCAGTGACTGCGTCAGCGAGCTTGAGTTTTGATTCACCCTTGCCTATGGTTATCTCAACGGGTGGTGATACTTCTCAGTTGTTTACATGTCCTTGAAAAATAAATTTTGCTTCTTTGCTCAATGTTCGATGTATTTACTGCTGAGAGAATGCAGTTCATGGAGACTTTTGGGCAGGAGTACAACGTTTTGAAATAGGTTGGAAGATTGAATATAGGATCTCTGAGTAGATTGGAATGGTTACTTTTTACGATGCTTTTTTTTTTCAAAACCACGTAACTATATGCATGCAGCCTGTTATTTCAATGGGTTATCATAACAAGTCCCTCACGAGCTGACATTTTCACACACCTTTCGGCACATTCTTTACATGTCGAAAATTCGATACATTCAAAGTGTATCATAAAGGGAGAACTTTCGACACAGCATTTTTGTGTCAAAAAAGTTTTGTGTGTGAGGGAGGGATCACGCCCCCCCCCCAAACAAAAAAAAAAAACCAAGGAAGCAAGACATGTGCAGCTCGGTTGCAAAGCCACTGGCAAGGAAGTCGAGGCGAATCGACTGTAAGAGCACATTCCTGGATGCGTCTGAACCGGCTCGAGGATCGTGGACTGGCTTTGCGAAGGAGATCCGCCTCATTCACAGGCGGTTCGGGTCGCGTGGCGCACGCCGTGTTTCCTGCCTTCTGGTTTGCAGATGGTCGCGCAACGGTGCGGCGATCTCTTCGCTTCTCTCTCGGGACAACAAATATCCGTGTCGATTCGCGACCCTGTCGGCTTCAGCCGGGAACGGGGCTCGAAAGAGTCGATCCGCGATGAGCGGATGGACTCGCCGTCGCCGCACGGAAAAAATCCGTGGGGGAAGAAAACGCAAAAGAAATGATATGCAATCCATTTCATTCCGCAGCAAATCACACCTGTCCATCGAGATGTACAGTAGATCTAGTCGTTCCCTTGATATGCAGTCCTTCGTATCCCGCAGGAGAAGCCGAGGTGGTGACTCTTGCAGACCAAACAATAAATGTCAATTAATTAATTAATAAATTAACAAGAACAACACTAAATTGGGCGAAACCCAAAAATTGTTCAGGCAACACCGCAAACAGGGAAGAGAGACTTAATTTTTTTTAATTTATGACACTGATGAGAGCCCAAATAAATAAATCAATCAATGAACCCCGAGATCTCTTCGCGACCCGCAGTTTCTCATCTACTCTGTCATCTACTCCATCGAACGACATGGAATCTCGAGAAATTCGAGAAATGTGCTTCAACGATGAAACCGACCTGTTCCACGTCGATTTCAGTCGGGTTCAGATTTTCCGATCTTTGAAAATTTAAACTGTAATCTCACGCCACGCGACATTCTATAGTAAGAGTCAGGGGGAAAAATCTCATTTCGTTCGCTCCTACCTGCTTTTCCTGAGAATTCTTTTTTTTTAGATTTCGAAACGCCTAAGATGCGTGAGGCCCGGCGACAGAACGATTTCATTCCGCTCCCCGAACCGGCACGAAAGTGAAAGAAATAACATCGAGAAGGAATAAGCCGAGCGATCGATACGGAGTTCATCGGAACGACCGCAGGAGAAAACGCAAAAGACGCGCTGGGGCTCGCGCGCGATCGCGTCCGGGACGCCGCGGCCTAGCCGCCCGGGCCAGCGAGGGTGACAAATTTTAAAATTCAAATGCGATGGATCCAAAAAAAAAAAACTCCATCTCGAGAAAGGATCCTTTGGCACGAAAGTCCCCGAGGGAACCGGGTAGGAGAGAGGAATCATCGCCCGAATGAGCAAAGAAGATCAGGAAGCGCATCCGACGACGAGGGGATCACAGCCCCCCACGAGGACCCCCAGCTCGGCGACCCCAACGCCCCCCTCGGCGTCCCCTCAGCGGCGGGGGTGAAGAAGCGGTTGCGAATAGGGAGCAAGGCCCGGCTCGCCGCTCAAGTCGCCCTGGGTGAGGAAGAAGACACGCGGCGTCCGGGGGTCCGTGGTCGCCGGCAACTGCAAAGAAAGGAGGGCGTTTTGTCACCGAGGGTCTGCAGGATGACATGCGCGTCCATCCGACGACAGATTCCACTCCTTCCAAGGGGAGCAACAGGCGAGGGAACGGGCCGGTCGAGGCCGGGACAGGCACAGAGTGGAGGTTGCGGAGGTGATCCATTCGGGGATACGATCTCCGGTCCATTAGGCTTAATTCATGCTCCTGCTGCACGGCATGCTGGATCGAATGGAAACCATTCCCATCTCTTAGATTGCAGCGGAACATGCAATGCAGAAGATGCAGTGCTGTATCCGCCGGAAGCAACGTGCAGTGTTGCTGTCAGTTAACTGACTACTGCTGTGCACTGCGTCGAGCATCCAGCATGCTGCGAAGCATGAGCACGGGTTCTTCGTCTCCGAAGTTCGGGTCGTGACGATGAGAATGGGGGGAGGGGGGGAGAGGCGGCGGGTTCAGGTTTGCTCATGCATAGCACACCTATTCCTCTCTTTTTTTTTTCCTCCCGAGCGGAAAGGAAACGGAGAGAATCTATTCGTCGGTAGCATCAATCTACGGAATCG